ACTTGATTTGTTACTTGTTTATATGAGAATTTTTAAATTAAAACCCGGAGTCCAATGTTAGTGATATGTGTCCCCAGAGCTTATATTTCTGTGTCCCGTTCTAGATTTATATCTTCTAAACAATGTTCTATTGGACGCGATGTGTTTGTACCATCGATGTGTAATCGCATAATGGTACTGTTGTTATAACTTATATTTGTGATTTGGGAGGACCCTTTTGTGGTCTGTTAGTATTGTCTTTTTTAATAATATTAAAAGATTTGTGTATTTATGTCGGAGTTTTAAACTAAGTAGAGTTCACGGCGCGATATTCGCGCGGCCGCCGTGGCGGCGGAATGGCAGCGGAATTATTAATTAATTAATTTCAGTAATGTTGCTACTTTAAATTATTTGTAATGTTTATAATTAAAATGTCTTATAAATAATGTATAAAATAATATAATTGTATCATATAGGTATAGAGGTATAAGTGATAAAAAAAATTTTTTAATAGTAATAAGTTAATAGTGAGTAATTAAGTTAATAATAAATAGAATAAGTACATAATATATTATATGATTATTTAGTTATTATTTATAAGTTAAATTGCTGCGCCCTAACAGGGTGATGTACTGTACTAGTAGTATAATACCACTATGTATATACATTTTGCAAAAAAAAAAAAAAAAAAAAAAAAAAAAAAAAAAAAAAAAAAAAAAAATTAATTATCAAAACTTACCAGACCGCAGTTTTGTGCGAACCCGCAGCCGCCACGGTGGTGATTATCGCCCACAAACTTGGCGTTTAGTTATCGTAAAATGGGTGGACGGTTAAACAATCAGTTGAGTTCCAGACCGGCGGCCATCCAACTGCGATCACCCGCCAAGTGATCGCAAAGCGCCCGAGTGCGGGCGCGAGAGAAATCCGCCGTGAGTCCATAGCCTTCATGTTGTTTCTTAAATACTTTATATAAAAAACAATACATTAATGACTACAGATTTACCAAACAACGTCATCTACTTCTTTCATGAAAAATGTTATACATACATAAATTTTTATGCTCATCAACTACAAAAAAAAATACAACAAAACCGATCCAAAAAAATAATGAATATGAGTCTAAAGGGTAACATAAAACCACAACCTCCGCAAGATAATAAAGCAAAAAGAATTATAAACAAAGCCATTGAATAAATACATATTAATGTACAAACAAACCTATGAACAGACGAATATATAAATAATGGAGCTTGCAACTTCACGACACTCGCTTTGTGAGGTAGAGAGAATTAATGAATAGTAAATTTGAACGATGAGAGAACAGTCACATTAGGTATTAAATAGTAGCCGTTATTTGTCAACAACCTATTAAGGATTTCATGCCCATTTTCAGAATCTCTCCTAAATTTTAAGCTAAGATAGGTGACATAATATAAAAACGTCATTTTTTTATTTCCACAAATGTATCAGTGACATCTAATAGTACAAGTAAGGGGATAGTTTAGGTACTACATCAAACTAAGTATCTTTGTTAAAAGGCGGTCTAGGATTGGTTTGTGAAAACGGCCATTAGTCTTATAGGTTCTAAGTCGACTATTTAAAAGTTATATAAATGGGCCCGTCAATAATTTCAATATAATTATGATATACCGCAAATACTGTGAGATAGCTTCATGCAAATGACATCAATATTGAAAAAGGAAGAACGTGGGAGAGCCATGCTTCGGCACAAATGGGCCGGCTCGACCGGAGTGATACCACCGCCTCACAGAAAAACGACATGAAACAATGCATGCGATGCGTTGTGTTTTGTAGTTGAAGTTAGGAGGCCCAATTATCCCCCTCCCCTTTCCCAATCTCCCCTATCCTTGAATCTCCAACAATTCTTAAATTCCAAATCCCCAAAAGACCGGTAATGAACTTGAAGCGCCTCTAATGTTCCTGGTGTCCATGAGCGACGCCGATTATTTACCATCAGGTGATCCGTCTGCTCGTTTATTGGCTTATCACATAAAATAAAGGAGCCATACACCATGAAAACAGCCAAAATATCGCTAGATTATCTTTGGGTCAACAATAGTAAGAATAGTATCACAAATAACAATAACTATACTTAAAAAAGTAACATAAATAAGCTACCAGCATATAAAATCTCATCCCCTAGTGAAGTGATAGCAATATACGATTAAAATTAGCATACTTAGGCATAAATGGCTTCGATGCAGTCCCAATGCAATCTCGAGTAAAGAGATTTATGCAATGTACTGTACAAAGTATTGCGCTCTATATTTTATGTTCTCGGACTCACACCTTAGCTTGTTTAGATATTTAAGAGATATAGAAGTCACGGATGTAATATAATTATCAAACAATATTTTTGTTTATTTTATTTCATTTATAAATATTCACTATTAATAGTATTTCATATATTACTTACTGACAATACTAACGCTTAGTAATTACGACAATACTAGACCCTATCTTCCAAAAAAACCTCTCATTTGTTATCTACTGGGATATTTTTTTTTAATCCCTTCTTTTAATCCTTCCTTGGACTTCCACGAACATTGCAAGACCAAAACCAGCCAAATCGGTTCAGCCGTTCTCGAGTTATAGCGAGACTAACGAACAGATATTCATTTTTATTCATATAAATAGATTATTTCTTTTTAAATAGTTACTGTATTTTTATAATAACTATCGTGAGAGATACTAAATTAACTTAAAACCGCGGGTATTCGTTTCGACAGAGCGACAGAGCCCAGGTGGGCGCGCTTTCTCATCAGCAGCATGCTTGATCGCGGAGATGTCGCGCAGCCTACAGGCCCTCTGTGGGTCGAAACTAGTAGAGCTTTTCTCAGTATATTCAATGTGAGTAACCCGCGAGGTTTAGTTAATTTACATTCTGAATACTATTATTTTTTTAAAGTGTCTATTTCCCAAACTAGATGTCTCTGTCGGCACGTTAACAGAACAGATTAGGGAAATTATCCGAGATAGCAGAACGCACAGGGCTCGGGCTCGGCTCACCAGCTTAACTTAATCCATAGATTACCCCGCTGATCCATCTTCCACGATGCCTGTCTGATGTACTATACCATGCCTTTTGAGTATAGGATCAAAAGTACACATTAAACATGCGTTTTAGATGTAAATAATTCTACAGCCAAAAGTGTTTTTGTTATGAATTACTGTTATTAGTCATACGTACTTATAGATAACATACCCACTGATGGGTTAAGAGTCGGAAGAACTAAGGTAATGGTAATAGGTATAATCCATAACATAATAATAATTCTATAAACTACGTTTTAAAAATCCGACCTCAATTACCTCTTTTTTTAAGAAACAATATACCACAATTTTTTCCCAAGACCGCATTTAAATCGGTTCGGTTTATGTTTGGTTTTTTCATTGTAAGACCTAAACCGACCAGTACCGGACCCGAGCGTACGGCGCATCGCATTGTGCGCGCGCCTCAAACAGCAATCAGGTTACTACAGATGAGGCCCTGTAGGGCCAATGCCCGATACGGAGCCGCGGAGGACTTAACGGGTTGGCAGATATTGGGTCGAAGTGCAGAAGTAGAAACGAGGTGGTTTTTAGTAAGTCTGATACTCCCTATCGCCTCATACAAGGCACGAGAAGGATGATTTCCCCCTTATAAATAATAACCTATAATTTAATAAAAACAAACCAATCACTATATTACAAGCTTTATTTAGTTTTTTATATAACTAGCTTCTGCCCGCGACTTCGTACGCGCAATCCCGTTCTTTCCCGTTCTCGTTCGTGATATTCGGTAAAAATAAAAAAAAATCGATGAAAAAGTTTCCTATGTCCGTCTCCTGGTGCTAAGCTACCTCCCCACCAATTGTCACCCAAATCGATGTAGCCGTTCTTGAGTTATAAATAGTGTAACTAACACAACTTTCTTTTATATATATAAATAATTTTCGTGAGACATACTTTTACTTCTTTTCTTTTAAGAAGAATACATACTAAATTAGTTATTACGTTTTTCGGCTTACTTACAAGCAATGCTGCCCATGAATATAAGCCTCTAGCATGGCTTGAAACTAGTCGAGGTTTTTAAATAATTACGTGAGTAAGCCGAAAAACATAATAAACCAGTCAGTAACCTGTTTTTATGTTACTTAAATATTCTATTATGCCTACCAGAACAAAAAATAAGATGATAAATGCTGATAATCTTTCATGTGTATTAAACAATACACAATGAATATATCATATAATTAGTTGCTGACGGCTGACAACCGACGAATGCGACTCATCGAATTTCTTTCCGTTACACTCGGCCTTGGTTCTGTAATTAAAGGTTTATAATTTATAAAATGAATGTCGTGGTGGCCCGGAGGTTAAAGATGCCCGCTTCTCATGCATGAGGGTGCGGGTTCGAAACCTACCAACGGCAAGTACGAATGTGACCTTTTTCGAATTATATGTACATTTTAAGATTACCTAGACACCCCTGAAAAACGGTGAAGGAAAACATCGTGAGGAATTCCGGGCTTATAATTTATAATTATAAGTTTGCAATTGCCAATCCGCATTGAGCAAGCGTTGTGGTTAATGCTCAAACCTTTTACGTGTGAGAAGAGGCGTTGCTCAGCAGTAGGCACTTATAGGCTGTTGTTGTAATGTCTCCCGATCCATTTCAATCATAGTGGCCAGTCTAACTTGACTAGCCCATTATGCTGGAAATATTATAGTGCACAAGTGTGTACACAAACACAGATGCGTTCTCTGTTCCCTCACACTTTAAACCAGCGCAGGCGCAATATCGATAGCTTTAAGTGCTTTCATGGCATGACGCATGACGTTAGAAATACCGCCGCAATTGCCTGACGCTGAACTAATAATGGCCATTTTATTATTGTCACTGCCGACGTGGGAATCGAACCTACGTTGCACAGCAGCTGGTCGCTCAGCCACTGTACCAAGCGTGCAGTTAAATATTTTGTCTAAAATAACACTATATAGAAATAAGAAAATCTATATTAGTTACTTTGTGGGCTTGTCGGGGTGGCCATGTAGTCAGGGTCGTTCCAGGGTTGCACCTCACTGCTTCCGAATATGATATACACCAAGTTGGTCACGAAGTATATAGCCGATGATATATAGAACACAGTGTGCCACTGTCTTGGATCTGTCTGTGAATATTTACAAAATATTATAATTAATGTATACTCATTTTTTAAATATTTAATTTATTAAAGTGAGATATGATAAATTATTTGTTTTGTAATATCGAAGGTACATTTTATTCGTTGGATAGACGATTTAAGGGAATAGTAACTGACCAGCGGGTGTTACTTACACTAAAGGTTGAAATGTTCGAATGATGATCAAAAAAGATGAATAGATTATGTAAAAAATAACGTAGAACAAGCATAATACCTCTATAAAACATAATCTTAACGGCTTTAGACAAAATCATTCATTGTAAAAAGATAACGCGGTTTCTCACCTCATCTGTGATTATAACCCCTGCTACTAGTGGTGCGACTATGCCCGTGATGTTGGCGAAGAAGTTGGTGATTCCCATCACACTGCCGGCAAAATTAGGCGACATATCGATGTGTGTCAGCTGGAGGTAAATTTAAACACAGTCAAAGTCAAAGTCAAGGCATTTATTTCAATTAAACCATATTTTGGTATCTACTTTTGAAACGTCAACAAATACAAAATAAATAATAGTCTGTCAGTCAGTCCGTCAGTGAAGCTAAGTGAAGGCAGGTGCTCATTCCAAAATGTACATTCGAATGGAGAAGAACGAACAAGAAACTCTTAAAAAAAAGTATGTTGTACAATATACTCGATTAGAATGAAATCTACACTAATAGTATAAAGAGGAAAGATTTGACTTTTTGTTTGTTTGTTTATTTGTATTGAATGGGCTCCGAAACTACAGGGCCGATTTGAAAAATATTTGTAATATATATTTTAACATCTCAATATACAATGTTACAAAGAATTATGACTATTTGCAATCCTTAAGTGAATAATCACATCAACAGCCTGTGATTGCCCACTCACTTATGTAGAGGCTGTTGATGTCCTGAGCAAATGTATCTGTGTAAGAAGAGATCAATGCTCAGCAGTAAGGTTCTTGAAGCATGTTATTAATATTATAGTAAAATTGTTGTATAACATACCTATTTACCAGAAATACTAAACTTAAGGCCTTTGCAGTCCGAGACGGCATGGCAAGAGATTCAAATTCTTGCGAATGGACATTAAGACGTATTGATATAGAAATACAACACAAATTACCCATATACCGGTCAGATGTCCAGCGCTGAGTCCAACCACGCCTGACAGCATGGCTACAGTCAATGTGACATGACCAGGGGGCAAATGACATAATACTATAAGCATTATTGCAGGACCAAACTCACCTGCAATTAAAAAGGTCTGAGTGAAGAGCGTTTCACTCACCAGGTGGCGGTATAGTAGCGTACGATACTATTGAAAATATAATGTTCAATTGCTTGACACTAGTTAATTTATAGTCTACTAGCTGTGCCCGCGACTTCGTCTGCGTGGAATAGCGATTCACAGCTCGTCCCCTGTAGATGATAGCCTATAATGTTGAACCGACCTGTTAGTAATATGCGTGCAAAATTTGAAGTATCTATGTTATCCCGGACATACATGCAGACAAACAGACAAAAAATCTAAAAAGCATTTTTTGGATTCGATATCGATTGTGGTTAACGCCTCAACTATTTATTTAAAAAAAAAATTCAATTTACCATTTTCACTTTTCTACGATTTTATTAAGATACAGATAAAATACAAATGAAATGTTCAACCACTAACCAATAGAATTGCAAGTCTTTCTACACGTGGTGATGCTGCACCATTTGTGTTTCATCGCAAGGTCCGTCAGAAATCCGAATGGAAAACTCAAGACATATAGCGTCATATAGGGGATCGCTAGTAAAAGACCATTCTGAAATTATTTTTATGTTAAACGGTTTTAATGAGCTCTATTCTACCAATCAAACCCTTTTGTTAGATATCCATAATGGTAGTTGTGGAAAATTTTAGATTATAATATTGTATGGTCATGAAAATTACGAGTGTGTATAAAATATCAGACCGATCTGTTATAGGGAATGGTTTTTTTTATGGCATAAGCCGAGAAACGAGCAGGCGGATCACCTGATGGTAAGCAATCGGCGTCGCTCATGGACACTTGGAACACCAGAGGCGTTACAAGTGCGTTACCGGCCTTTTGGGAATTAGGAGTTTGAGGATCGTTGGGGATTCAGGAATTGGGGAGATTGGGGAAGGGGAGGGTGATTGAGGAAGGGGAGGGTACTTAGGCCTCCGGTAACCTCACTCACACGACGAAACACAACGCAAGCGTTGCTTCACGTCGGTTTTCTGCTCGGCCGTGGTATCACTCCGGTCGAGCCAGCCCATTGGTGCCGAAGCATGGCTCGCCCACACTTAAATTCCAATTGAACTAAAATTAAGTTACAATTTCAATTAAACAGGGCAAGTGATATAATACCAGATAATAAAGAGGCAACACCTTAAATACACAGTGACATTACGTGTAGGTTGGAACTTTAGAAGTTTGGACTTGCAACGCAGTAATCATACTTTTAAAATGTTAGTAGAGTATTAGTGCTGCAGTTTTACTTCCAAACTTACAAATTCTAAGTCAAAGAAACCTCTTGACTTATCGAAGACCCTCTCATTAGTTGAAACTTATTCATGTGCAGGAAAAATAATTCTTAACTAATTACAATTAGTATCTGTAAAGGCAACGAACCTGCCTCGTTGGCCGAGTGGTCGTAAGTGCGACTGCCGGGTCGATTAGGATCGGGCAAAGTAAACGGTTTTGAAAAAATCTCAGTAGTTGCACGGATTCTGGAATTGTGCCCGGTATATGGCAATAGGCTCACCCCAATTACATGGGACTCATAACATAAATAGTGAAAAGTAGGTGTTACATTATACAGTGGCATTAAGTGTCGCAATGTGCACCTCTGCCTACCCCTTCGGGGATAAAAGACGTGATGATATGTTATATTACAACGAACCTGTGAAATATGTACGCCTAAAACATCATTCATGTACGTCGGCAACTCTGTGATGAGCGTCCAGAACCCCCAGTTATGACCGCAGTGTGACGTCAGTAGCGCGTAGAAAGGACAACTTAACAATATCTGCTTCCAAGGAGTATTCTTTAGCTAACCGAGAATAAATTTAATTTTATAGACTCTGTCGCATTATTATTGTATAGACAGCTACACATCGACTTATACAAAACTGACCTTCGAATGTACCGAAATGTCATACAAAGCAAGAACTTGATAAACTGGTTCTTTATAGCTTGATGTAATTAACCTGACTGTATTTTAATGGGTACCTTTGACTCCTCAAACACTTGCATTGACGATAGAATGTAATGTTTTTCTTCAATACTTATAAGATTAGATTTCTGAGGACTGTCTGATCCAAAATACATATAGAATGCGAACCAAATAGTCCCACAGGTGCCGTTGACGTAAAAAATTGTGGGCCAACCCCAATGTTGTATAATAAAACCAGATACCAATAACTGTATGCTTGTGCCCAGAAACGTTCCTGTAACGAAATATTAATTATTATTATATACCTTCACGGTTCAATTAAAGTGAAGTATAATTTCCTTCAATGTGAGAGAGCTGTGCTTCGTTCGTCAAGTATGGGTCGGCTTGATCGAAATTTTTCCACAGAAAACCGGCTTGAAATTATGCTCATGTTGTATTTCACCGTATCAGTGAGATTATCGAAGGCCCAATCCCTACTTCTCCAATCTCCCCATCCCCAAATTCTTTAATTTCTGACCTGCAAAAGGCTGGCAACTCCCCTAGTGTTGCGGGGTGACCAGGCTTACCTTCAGGTGATACATCTGCTCATTTCGCGCCCTATCCTTTAAGTTTGAATTTTAGAGTACTTGCCACCGTATACCACAGAGCCTAGTAATCCCATTTCATGGATAGGGATCCACCTGCTGACTAGACTGTGTGTTGAGGGAAATAAGCAGCCTTGAGCGAGACCTTGTATAACACGGCAGAAACAGAGTCCTGTCCACCTTGCCTGAAAACAATGCACAATAATAAATCATGTTGGTATATACGATTTTATTAAATTTAGGACAGACAATAACTTTTGGTACTTGAAAATTTACATACTACTCTAAATATTATGTTAACGTGACTTCATTATCACTAGGTACAACTCTAGTTACTTCAAATATCGCAGTTACAGTACCATAAACGCACCCATGGCTGAGGAGATTAAACCTAATAGTGTGCAGCAGCGATTTAAAAAAAATTGAATACAATCTAACATAAGCAATTCTACATTTAAAACTTCATTCTTACCTTATATGCCATGGCGGGTATCGTTAGTGAGACTGCTGAGTTTACAACTATACATAAAATAAGTAGCAGTTTGGCCCCATATTTAGCTTCGAGTGCGCCACTAGGGATCTGTAGTACTATGTATCCCCAGAGGAAAGAAGTTAAGACGTAGCTCTGAATTTGCATATTCCAATCAAATGACTAAAAGAGAAATATACATATAAAACAGATCATATTGACTAGACGGCGTCGATCTGAGAATAGAAATGATATTAAAATATAATTCCAACAGGAGACATTTTTAATGGTCATTCACACTATTTTTATCTTATGTTGTACGTTTAAAAACATAATTTTACGTACACAATATACCAAGACTAAACATTTGCGGACCACTTACAAATTCTTTCGTACAGTAATCAAACCTATGGTTAGTTTTGAAGCCATTGCTTGGTTTCAACCCGTACTTGCATGAAAATCAATAAATAAAACTTTTAATGAGGTTATTGCTTTTTAATTTAATTGTTTTAGTGGATTCTGAAGCAGTAAAATGTTGATGGTTTATCTAGTAATATATTATTTGAACTTACACCATCAATATCACCTTCTACCATAGCTACAATAGCCATACTCATGTTGACTCTCATTGAAAAACATATCGCTAGTGCTAAAAATAAAAATAACACTTGGACATGCCTAGTTCCTAACTTTGTTTCTGCAATAGAAATAAATACGCTTTAATTTATTCCGTTCAAGTCGACAATAGTAACGAAATACACAAAATGCCTAAAAAAACCAAGTGTGATCTATATTTGCGAGAGGGTGGGAGAGTCATGCATCGGCACGAATGGGCCAGCTCGACCGGAGTGATACCACAGCTTCACAGAAAACTGACGTGCTAGCGTTGTGATTCGTCGTGTGACTGAGGTTACCAGAGGCCCAATTACCCCCCTTCCCAGTCTCCCCAATCTCCGAATCCCCCACAATCCTCAAATTCCTTTAATTAGGCCGGTAACGCATTTGTAACGCCTCTGGTGTTTCAGGTGTCTATGGGTGACGCTGATTGCTTACCATCAGGTGATTCGTCTGCCCGTTTACCGGCTTATCGCATAAAAAAAATATTTAGATTCGTATAATAAGTAGGTGATATTATATATGGCTGTAATTCTTTCACTATTCTTTGTTGGCAAATTCGCATGGGGTTTTTGTTCGATCTTGAACTTTAAAGAAACTGAATCACCATCGATAAATAAACTGCTGCTCTTGTGTTAACTTACTAAGACACATCTATACTACTTGGAACTTCCTCAAACCTAATCCAGAATATATTTATATTCCTGTATTATATACGTCGTCATTGCAAATAATGTACAGGACTGTGCAAAAAGATTCATTTATTAATTCCATTCGAGGAACTTTTCAGAGCATTTTCCATATGAGTGAGTTCTGTCATATTAAATTTGTCAATGGCTACTGGGCTCCTGTCAGTGTGTCAGTATGACGCATAGAGTAGTATAAGTAGGCGAGTAAGTAGGTACTATACAACTCTATAAATCTATGGGTATGATGCTCTGTTTGTACTTTGTATTAATAATAACGGGTAGGTAAACCAGGATGAATAGCATTCGGGTGCTAAATTGTAAAAGAAATGGGGTGAATAGATACTATGAAAAATTTCCTAATAATATCTATTCACTCCTTTTCTCTATTTTACGGTACCCACTTTGCTGTATCTGCTTTTAAAGTTGATAACATGACAATTATTATACTCTATGCTCAAATCTGAAAGGAAAACATGAGGAAAACTGTAGGTCTACTCCGGTTCTCGAATGCGAAGTTTCGTTTGATTTGCGGCGGCAAACAACGTTTTCGGAACCATAGACAACTTTCGTGAACTACAATGAACGAATGAAGTGAAGATAAATAAATAGGCATTAAAGAGGTTTAGATTCGAAATTAAATAAAAAAAATATTTTAAGTAATTATATTACTGAAATCATAAGGCCATGGCTTAGCACACATAATCATCAAGAAAATCTTGAATAATCTTTTAATATTAACGTTTAAGATGGAAAATCTTAAACAGGATAAGAACCTCATTTCAAAAATGTATTATACGACTAAGTTAAAAAGTTTTAGAATGTTGTTTTATTGTCATTTATTGACATTTATGTATAAAATAATGACAACCAAATTTATTCGTATTATATTAGTACAGTCAGTTTAAAAATTATAAATGTCTACATGAGAATTTGAAGAGACTAAATTATTTCGTGTTATGATGATTAACAATATATTTTTGAAAGAATTTATCTTATCTATAAATATTGGTATATTAATAGATGTGAAAGAATAGCGAAAATATATATTAGCAATACTTAAGTTAATTTTTCAAGCGGTATTATTAGTTTTAAAATAAAACATTACACATGAAACATTTATGTACAATACATAAGGTATTCAAATAAGTATTTGATTACCCTAAATGTTACTAACTCTCATAGACATATAAAATATATGGGTTCGTGTTAACAAACTATTTGAGCTGACTGTACATTGATTTTATATCGTCATTTAAGTAGTTCCTTTGGTGCCCTACGTGTTGCCCACACAAAGAAACCGTGACAAAACGAAGACTTATAATTACTTTCCTTCATTTTTCAATAAATTTAACCCAAACGAAAATCAAACGATAACTATTTTGGTTTCGTCGAAATGACATTAAACGTCCGAAGAATAATCTGTCAAACTCGAATTTTCGTTCGTGCGGATTGTACAATTAGAGTAGGGTTCCGAAAATATCGACGTCAAACAGTACATCTCATACTAATTTCTGCCTTGTTTCATTCCTTTTTCGTTCGTAATAAATGCCATTGTGGTAAGTAATGTTCGAAGTTTCGTCCGAAACTTCGTTTTTCGTCGAATCAGAGTAGACCTCCTGATAGGATTAAAAACCAAAAATATTCATAGCAAAAAAGATATCATTTAACCTCAATTTCTTGTCGATGAATTTAAAACTTTCACTACTATGAGCGTAAAGACCTTGAAAGAGTAAAATGTTCTGCCAGCATTTCAATCACTAGTTAAAATAACGTTATTCTATTAGAAATAAAACCCACACCAATGGGATACCAGTACAGGAGATAAATAAATCGTTTTTAAAGGCTAAACATTATTTATTTATATTTACAAAATTTACAAACGTAACAGGGTAAGTACACAAACACAACAGCCCTTCATCTAAAATATCAGGAGAATCTGATGTGATCTCGTAGATAGTCGTAAGATATTTATTATTATACTGAAATAAGTTATTTTTGTAGAATCTCCATTGGTGACAGAAAAAATTGCACTGATTGAAATTAAATTGGACCAGGCCTGGATACAGGATGCATTCAGTTGACGCTTTTGTTTTCCACAACTTCTGGATCTGATAAGAAAAACAAGTTACAGTCTCTTATAAAAAACCCATACGAAAAAACATTGCTTTGTCTATTCGTCTGTTCTTACTTGGTCTAGTTTCAGCATCGTCTGCATCAGGAGCCTCATTCCAAGGCTGCCTTGCACTTGTTCCGAAGATGATGAAGATGGTGTTGGTGACCATGTAGATACCTGACGTCACATAAAATACCAGACGCCATTGGTCGAAGTCGTACTAAGGAGAAATAACTGTGTATTGTATCGAAGTGTATGATTCTATTAACTACATTTATATATGACCCGGAAATTTTTATCTTCATAAATTAATTAATAGAAAAAGTTAAGGATGATATTCATCACAATTTTACCTCATCTTCAAGTATAATTCCAGCCACTAGAGGTGCGATGATAGAAACCACATTAGCAAAGAAGGTGGTGATGCCCATCATGGTTCCCGCAAAGTTGGGAGCCATATCGATGTGGACCAGCTGTTCATGACAAGACCATGGAATACAAAAGTAGTTTAGTTTGAATTTACCTATAAACAGCAGATGGTGAAGCAGAAATAATAAAATGTATTGCAATACCATAAATCCAGACAAATGTCCCGCGTTAAGGCCGACGACGAGGGTGAGCAGACCTACCGCCTGAGTGACGTCACCAGCAGGAGCGTGGCACAGTGCTATCAAAGCTAGCGCTGGCCCGTACTCACCTACAAAAAAAACCTCTAAACATGGACTAACCAACTCTTGTAACGTAGAAATAGAAAAAAATACAAAGTTACATACCAATGGAATTGGACACTTTTCTGCAAGTGTTGATACTAAACCAATTATTCTTTAAACCATAGTCCGATATGAAACCACAAGGGAAACTTAAAATATACATCACAAAGTATGGCAGAGCTGACATGGCGCCACTCTGTGAAATAAAATATTATTATCACCAGTCCATAGATAATATTATTAATTAATTAATTTCTAAGTGCAATGAAAACTTTGATTATCTTTTTGGGAACGTTTGTCACTGAGATTATTAATACATAGTTCCGTTTTCTTTAAAACTCACTTCCTTAATATCGACTCCAAGCACTAGCTTCATGTACGAAGGCATCTCAGTCATGAGGGTCCAGAAGCCCCAGTTATGTCCGCTGTGCATCACCGTCAGAGATATAAAAGGCACACTGGTGGCTAACTTCTTCCATGGAGTTTTCAATATCTACGAAATACAAAGTAAACTTTGAAAGTTCAGTACAGGTTTATCAGGTGATGAAATGTGTCCGGTATGAAAATGTTAGGGTGGATGTTTTGGTTGCAATCGACTTCACAGTATTGGCGTGGTCTCCTTACTTTGCCCAATTTCAGACAGGGCAATTTTTTTTTATATAAATTGATGTTTAGTACATATAACTAGAAGCTTCAATGAGAAGCGGGCGTCTTAAACCTCCGGGCCACCACGACTATGTATTATAATGTAAACACGTTTAGAATCATATTTTGACTTCTATACAAACATTTTCGTAAGCTAACCTTTTGACCGTCGGTCTGTCCAAGTGACGTCTGTATATACATTCTCTCCTCTGTGCTGATTATTTTTGATTTCTGAGGAGAATCTGCTCCGAGGAAAATGTAGAACATCACCCAGACGGCAGCTAGCATACCATTTATATAAAAAATGGCTGGCCAACCCCAATACTCGGCAATGTAGCCCGAGGCTACCATCTGTATGCCAGTACCGAGCAACGTACCTGAGCAAATTATTTAAATTATTATACTCGTAAATAGCTAACAACATGTTTTTCTAAGAAAATATTTCAGTTACTAGCTGAATATTCTTTATCATAAAATTACCTCCATATATCAAGGTACCGAACCGGCTTTTCTCTTCCAAAGGGACCCATTTACCTATGAGATGATGTGTAGTTGGGAACAGACAACCTTGAGACAAACCCTGAATACCACGGAGAAGACACAACCCTTGCCAGCCGCCCTGTAGATAAATTATATTAGAAGGAGATAAAATACAGCAGTAAGGAAAAAAATATTATGTTACCTCTTACCATATTGAACTTAAACTCACATGATATGCTCCATAAGGTATAGCCAATGACACGGCGGAGTTCACAGCGATGGCCAAGGTGATGAGGATCATACCTCCGTACCTGGCTGCTAACTCACCACTAGGGATCTGCAGAACTATGTACCCCCAGAAGAAAGAGGAGAAGACCACGCTTTGGGTTTGCATACTCCAATCAAATGGCTGTTTAGAAGTTACCGAATTAATTATAATATTAATATGTATAGATATTATTACTGTTTCTAGTCAAAATGGTATTGAAAACACAGGCCAGAAGAAGTTGGTCTAGATCAGGGCTGTCCAAACAAAGGCCCGCGGGCCGCATGCGGCCCACGGCCTGTTTTCATGTGGCCCGCGACACATGTTTTAATCTCATCATCTTCATCTTATGTGCAACAACAATAATAAAATTCAGTGTATGATTTGTATACCAATTTTGTCTATGAGTAAAGAATACAATGTTAAACTTCATTGTACAACGTGAAAATATTTTTCTGGCCCTCCAGCTTTTGTTAGAAGTTAAATTAGCCCGCGAGGGTATATAGTTTGGACAGCCCTGGTCTAGATGATTGTCTTTACTTAACGTTGATCGCGATAGTGAAGAAAGCTTCATCATCGCCATCGACGTTGACTATCAGCCGCTGCCAAACATAAACCTCTTCTTGAACGTGCATCCAGTTCCTTTCTGCGCGCTATCTATCTATCTATACATATAATAAAATTGTAGAAAAGTGCTGTCTGTACATCGTCGAACACTATCTATCTATCTATACATATAATAAAATTGTAGAAAAGTGTTGTCTGTACATTGAAAATAAAAATAAAAAAAATAGCAGGGGCTATTGTTATGTCGATGTCGAACCCAAAAATGTACCTAACTTTTTTTTTGTCTGTTTGTCTGTTCACGCTAATCTCAGAAATGGCTTATAAATATATATATATTTAACAGGGTGCGGAAAAGGTGATAGTGGTTTTATTCCTCAGATTCCTCTCATTCCAAAAAAAATTTCGTTTAATTTTAAACGAATTCAGTTTCCAGTGAGCCTATGTTTCGCCATGACAATTAATAAAGCTCAAGGTCAGATCTAAGTATCAGCTGTTTTTCGCACGGTCAATTGTATGTGGCTCTGTCCCGTGTTAGCAATCCCAGCAGCCTGTATGCTTTCACCCCCGATGGCCATACGTCTAATATTGTATATAGAGAAGCATTACAGTAAAGTAGGTTTTTAGCTACCCAAAATGACTGTGATTATGATCCAAATCTAAAATAAAAATAAGTATATATTTAAAAAAAAAAACGCTGCCCATAGTCACTATTCTACGCGAACGAAGTCGCGGGCACAGCTAGTTTTGTAATAAAGATGAATGAAGTCAAACGACCTTAGGTAATACACAACTATGTTCCTTACGTCTTCACTTCTCTTGTCTGTCATAGCGACGATGGCCATACTGATATTGACTCTCATGGCGAATCCCAGAACCAAAGCAAAGAATAATAATAGCACCTGAAGGTGACGAATCCCAAAGATCTTGTCTGGAAAAAAGGGTTTTGAAAAATTATATTCTTAGACAGTCCGATCTCAGTTCATTTGGAAAATGATCCTATTGCTCACAGACAAAAGTTTTCTGATGGTTTTTAATAACAATTGACTTACTTGAACACATTGCTATAGAATACTTTACAATCAATCCTCAGATCCATTGATAGTTTTTATGCGCTTTGAAGTTATAATTTGTATTTAACATCATTTTATATGACTAGGTACAATCAGCGTTAAGACATTCACTGCTTTATAAATTTACATTTAGCCCTGTTCAAAAAGTCTAGCTTTGTAACTATGTATTTTATAAAAAGGCTTGGTAAAATCAAAAAGCATGATAAGAGACATCTGTCATTGTCATCTGGATGCGATCAGTTGATGAAAAGTTCTGCGAATAGGTTGAGATATCATTGTAAATCAAAGAAACCTTCTTTCTAAATATTAAATAGAACTGTGTGTCCTTAAGGAATAGAACTATTTGTCCGCTAGTACGTACTTTTGTACATGATTATGTAGTATCCAAGTGATGCCAAGATTTAGAACAATTAATTTCTATTTTGATGCACAGATGCATATTAAATTAAGTAGTGGGAAAACCTGATGTGATTTATTGTCGGTGAAAATAATTAGATTCATTTTGTTGAAACATAATTTATTAATATTTACAAAATTTACAAATGCATTACAGGTAGGTAGGATACTTATGTCAGTGAATTCTTAAACTACTTTTTCAGCCTTCTTTTCTGGATCTGAAAAACAAAAAAACCTGTTAAAACATATTCGTTAAATAAAAGTACTCGGGTGGAGATCGTCAAAACGAAAATTTCAAAACGAAAGATAAGGAAGAAAAGTCTAGGAACCACTAATAAGATATTAGGTGCTATCAGAGCAGTCTTCTATGCTTCGAGTAGTGTACGCATTGAATAAAAAAGTGAACTCACCAGCAGTAATCTGGTTATTTTCAGGCTCGTTCCAACTCTGTCTCTCACTGGTGCCGAAGACGACGAAGAAAGTGTTGGTGGCGATGTAGATAGCAGACGATACGTAGAACACTTGGTGCCATTGTGTAGGATCGGTCTAGAAAAAAAGTGAATATTGGAGATATAAAATTTTTGGATAACATATTTGACACAAAAGGTTTTACAGAAAATCAGAATAGTGATATAATTTTAGAATGTAACTTGAATTCATCTCTCACCTCATCTTGGAGGATAACTCCAGCAACTAGAGGTGCGATGATGCCGATGATGTTTGCAAAGAAGTTCGTGATGCCCATCATAGTGCCGGCGAAGTTTGGAGCCATGTCGATGTGGACCAGCTGTTGAAGAAAGATGTTGTCGTGTTAGTTACTTTCCATTGTTAGTGATGTAATTTATAGTTGTTACCAGTTTCCAGTAATTCTCTTCCCTTATTCTCTATCTTCTTATTTTTTAGTAAATCAACCTTATGCTTTTATTAAAATTTAAAATCAAATCAAGAGTTCAGATCGCCATATCAGTCAATATGTTGGCGTTTTCCGAATATGGTTTTAATTAAATTATTATGTTTTCGGCTTACTCACGTAGTAATTTGACGACTAGTTTCAAGCCATGCTAGAGGCTCATATTCCTGCTCATAATATGAGCCTCTAGCATGGCTTGAGTTCCTCGTCAAATTACTACGTGAGTAAGCCGAAAACATAATTATTTATTTAGTATGTCTCACGAAAGTTACAATGACTTTAATTGTTATATTTACCAAATATCCAGTCATATGGCCAGCATTAAGTCCAACCACGACAGTGAGTAGAGTGACAGCCAGCATGACGTCACCAGCGGGGACGTAGCACAACGCAATCAAGGCTAAACCGGGACCGTATTCACCTGGAAGAAGAAAATTTTTGTTAAACAACACTTGTTTGCTTTTGTCCAACTTTGGTTTGGGATAGTTTGCAGACTAATATGGATTCAATGATATATTGTGTCATGTGCTAACGGCAGAGAACTAAGTATACATATATATCCTGCGAGCGTAAATACTGACTACGAGTCTCAACGGAGATTGGGCAGGAGCATTTTCTGTTTAATGTGATCATTAAAATTTTAAACCGGGGTCTTTAACCCGCCTGGTAAGTAAGGCGATTATGTAATCTTCCTCTTTTAGAGGTTGAGGAGGCCATTCGTCGTGTAGGCTATCATGATTGGTTGAATCATCAACCACCATCACCAAAATCATTTTTATTCATCAATCATTATATTTAGTTACTAACGTACCGATAGAACTGGAAAGTTTTCTGCAAGTGCTGATGCTGAGCCATTTCTTCTCCAAGATGTAATCCGATAGGAATCCGAAGGGGAAACTCAGCATATACATCGCCAGGTAAGGAAGAGCTGACATTAGACCATTCTGTGAACAAAAACAATTCTTAAGTATATCATATAACAAGGAGGCAATCTTCATGCAGTTGTCCATCTACGTTTTACCATCTATGCAATGTGACAAGACCTAGTTTACAGTAAGATTTCAAAATATAAGAAAACTTTGATAACGTGATTAAACTTTGCCTGACTTTGCGATTGAATGAAGGATAATAATATAAATAATTTACTTTTACTTCAAAATTAGTTTTCAGGATTAGCTTAGAAATAATAAATGACTATTATCAATAATTTCTTAAATTATTATGAGAAATGGTTTTTTCACACTTATTCTGTATTAAAAAAAAGGATAATTATATTATAAATTTCTACAGACTACAACAGTTTGTAACTAACCGCTTTAATGTCAACTCCGAGCACTTGCTTCATGTATGACGGCATCTCAGTCATCAGCGTCCAGAAACCCCAGTTGTGTCCGCAGTGGACTACTATCAAGGAAATGAAGGACAGGTTTGTGCTGATCTTCTTCCAAGGAGTTGGCAGCCTCTGGAAAAGGTATAGAAAGTTTAAATAACGAAATATCGGACAAAGAGACTACATAATATACAACTACATAACATCACGCCTTTAATCCCCGAAGGAGAAGGCAGAGGTGCACATTACGGCACTTAAATAATGTAATGATACTTATTAGTGTACCATATAACACCCACTTTTAACTATCTATGTTATGAGTCCCATGTAATAGGGAGTGAGCCTATTGTCATATACCGGGTACAATTCCAGGCTCCGTGCTACTACTGAGATTTTTTTTTAAATCCAGTAACTCTAAAAAACTTTGCCGACTCGCGAAACGACCCCTTGCCCGGCAGTCGCAGAGTAGCAATGTTAAATCGCAAAAATGTGTTAAATAAGACCTTATTTTAAATTAAAGTCAATATTTCTGTCTAAATTCAAAAGTGACTTCAAGTTGTAGTAGCGGGGATAAAGCCAAGTACAATAGTGTCTGGCAGTATTTGTTCAACTCAACTATTAACCCTTAAGCCCTACACTTATTTTACCATCCTATTCTCCTACAGGGGGTGCTCGAGTACCCCAAAGTTAAAATGTTATTATTTTTGGAAAATTAAATACGATTGAAATGTTTTATATTCATCTTTATTTCTTAGTCAATTGATATCACAAATCAACTTATAAAATTAAAAAATAATAATAAATAGTACTTTTTTGGCACACTTTTATTTGGTGCTCCAGGCAAATAGGGATTTGGCACTTATTGCACATGGTCTTGCATTTCCGGTCTTTATTCCTGGGACACATTCTACATCTTCCTTGTTTTTGACAGTCAGGCATGGCACTTGGTGCTGGCACATCTTTTTTCAGGATACATGCAATGACCTTCTTGACATCCCTCCTTAAACTTGGGATTTGTAAACGATTTTCCTAGTGCTCATATATTAGCCCAAGTCCCAATTCTTTGAGGAAAGTTCGTCGGGATTTTATGTCAGTCTTATTGTTTTCTTTCAACACAATTTAAAGAAGACCCAGGAGTTTATGTTAATAGCATTTAAAAGACCTTACAAAATAGTTAAAGGCCATCTTCTTGTCTTTCTTTGGACGAAATATTTCTTCGCCATAGCATCAAACACATCTACTCCACCTTTTGTTTTATTACAAAAATATATGATATCTGGCAGTTCGACATCATCGTCTTTGTCGGGAAAATCGTGTAGTGTAGACAACATGATGACAACCTACTTCTTCACCCCTCTTGGCAGATAATATGAGAGAAGTGTTAGCGGTCCATCAAAGGCATTTCCCTACACTGGGGTGACCAGGCACCCCACAACACAAGTACACACGTCTACATGCAGTTGCGAACTCCACGCGACTGATAGGTCGAGAGCAGGTACCACTAAGCTGAAACTCAAAATTGTGTGAATATAATTATTTAGAGAAAAATCCAAAATAAAGTTCCGTGGGGTTCTCCAGCACCCCAGGTAGGGTTCCAGGGTTAAGGTAACAATTTGTAATAGTCAGACACATATTTCAATGAATTTATAACACAATAGGTAGCTTATGTAAACCAAACCTCAATAAATTCTCAATTTGAGCACATTCATCACTATACCTAAAATAACTAGAGGCGATATTTCCAATAATTTTCTTGAATTTCTGCAAAACTATAAATCTAATCGGTACTTTAGACCCTTGTTATCATTTCGACAAACCAGATGTTATCTTCTGGATAATTTACACGATGGCTGATGATAATTGAGCGCAGTGCAAACTGTCAGCTCGGAGATTTATTGAGATGACGGAGTAATTATTGGGAACATTTGATTGATCGTAATAATGTTCTGATTCTGTACTCGGTAGTGCAAATATGTACGCAACACCAATTGAGTCTTAGCTGCGTAATAGATGAGGATATAAATATATATCGAGTATATTTCATCATCTAGACTAGATATAATAAGCTTATTAGATACGACGCAAGTGGGATTGCCGGGCAAGGGGTCTCGGGTTCGATTCCCGGGTCTGGTCATGTATTACTGTTTTTTTTTAATCTCAGTAGTAGCACGGAGTCTGGAATTGTGCCCGGTATATGGCAATAGGCTCACCCTCTATTACATGAGATTCATAACATAAATATTGAAGAGTTGGTGTTACATTGTAGGTACAGTAGCTTTAAATGCCGCAATGTGCATATCCCTTCGGGGATAAAATGAATAATGTTATGTTGTGTTAGGTATGACGTACCTTCTGTTCTCCCACTTGTCCAAGAGATGTTTGAATGTACAACCGCTCAGTATCGCCGATCATCTTCGATCGCTGTGGAGAGTCAGAGCCGAGGAACACGTAGGCTACCACCCAGATGGCACCGGTAGCACCGTTGACGTAGAAGATGGCTGGCCAGCCCCAGGAGTTTGCTATAAAGCCTGATACTACTAACTGTATAACTGTTCCCAGCTGAGCACCTGGAACATAAAATGAACAATACTACTTCTGTTGATGTATTTATGTTGTTTGTATTATTATGTTGCTAAGTCAAATATCTCAGTGACAAATCATTATTATTCACAATCGCTCTACAATCAATGCTTACAACTACAATGGTGATAAGTAGATCTATACATATAATAAAATTGTAGAAAAGTGCTGTCTGTACATTGAAAATAAAAATAAAAAAAATAGCAGGGGCTATTGTTATGTCGATGTCGAACCCAAAAATGTAACTAACTTTTTTTTTGTCTGTTTGTCTGTTTGTCTGTTCACGCTAATCTCAGAAACGGCTTATCCGAGTTGGATGCGGTTTTCACGAATATATTGTGGTATGCTTCAGTTATGCTTTAGTGTTTGTTTCATGTCAATCGGTTCATAAATAAAAAAGTTATGTCAAATTAAAGAATCACGTCGAACACCATTCTATGCTTATATACCTCTAATATACATCTATTCTATACATCTATATCTATCTTCTATGTATCTATCTATATCTATCTATACATATAATAAAATTGTAGAAAAGTGCTGTCTGTACATTGAAAATAAAAATAAAAAAAATAGCAGGGGTTATTGTTATGTCGATGTCGAACCCAAAAATGTAACTAACTTTTTTTTTGTCTGTTTGTCTGTTTGTCTGTTCACGCTAATCTCAGAAACGGCTTATCCGAGTTGGATGCGGTTTTCACGAATATATTGTGGTATGCTTCAGTTATGCTTTAGTGTTTGTTTCATGTCAATCGGTTCATAAATAAAAAAGTTACGTCAAATTAAAGAATCACGTCGAACACTATCTATCTATATATCTATATATATAAAAATCAATTGCTGTTCGTTAGTCTCGCTAAAACTCGAGAACGGCTGAACGGATTTATCTTATCTTGGTCTTGAATTATTCGTGGAGGTCTAGGGAAGGTTTAAAAGGTGAGAAAAATTCGAATAATTGCCGGGAAAATCCTCAAAACAGCATTTTTCTATTTCCCATACAAACGTTTTCTAAATAAAATGGAGAGTCAATTTGTAATTTATTACCGCTGCATAAAGTTCAAATTATTTATTACGATTTATCTGAAAACCTGAAAACGGATATCTGACAGGTAACATTACTATGGTAACCAACCTGATGATTTGTAATTGTTATGGCGTCCTACTTCCATAATATATTTTGGCATCAACATATAAAAATGAAGTTCTGTGGGTTTTCAAGGAATAATATTAGTATTCAGCTGCATCAGAGATTTTAAAGACAAAATACGAATTCAATTGACTGAATACAATTTATTCATAGACTAGCCTCTGTCTGCGGCTTCTCTCGCGTTCTTTTAATGGGGTGAGGGAAGGATTTACAATAAAAAAATGAAATGATGCACGATTCTATGCTGGTCACAAATAACCCGCATACCAATTGTTAGCTTTCCACATTGAAAATTGCAAAATACCCCATACAAACTTTCACCTCTGTTTCACGGAAGTGGAAGGGGGTTAGAAAAAGACAAAAAGTAGCCTATGATACTCTCCATCTTTTCAACTATCTCAAATCAAAAACCTTCCTGACTCCGTTCTGTCGTGAAATACGGACAAACAAACAAACAAGCACATACAAATTTATATTATTAGTATACCTCTACATTTCTTAAGTCATCTGAGATTTGTGTGACAAGTGAGTTTACAAAGTCAATGTGTCATAGATTTTTTTTATACTATGGTATTAATATTAAGGTATGCAAAGAGGTTGACAGCAGTCTAAGGAGATAAAACCACGAATAAAATATTTTCAGTTTACTTGAATTCGTATTTTTTATATGTATATCAAAAAAACTAGCTAAATGCACATAGCTAAAAAATAATATTAGTCCTTTTCATTTTAGACCGTCAAGGCCAAATTCACTATGATAGTTTGCTGTTTTTTTATGGCATAAGCCGGTAAACGAGCAGACGGATCACCTGATGGTAAGCAATCTGCGCCGCCCATGGACACCTGTAACACCAGAAGTGCTAGAAGTGCGTTACCGGTCTTTTGGGAATTGGTAATTTGAGGATTGTCAGGGATTGGGGGGGCTGAGGGAGGGGTAATTGGGCCTCCGGTAACCTCACTTACACAGCGAAACACTCCTTTAGGTAACCGAGGGCTGGGCTCGCTGTCATTGCAGCGGAAAGTCCCCTCTTTAAAAGTGGCTTTAGAGAGGCCATCAATGCGAGGACCGCCCGGAGAACACGGTGGAGCATATCGTGGCGGTGTACCTTGCATGGGCTGAGCACCGCCGTGTTCTCAGGGATGTAGGAAACGGTGACCTCTCGCGTTCGGCTCTGGTTCAGGCCATGGAGCGAGGGGGATTGGGATGCAGTCGCATCATTCTGCGAAGCAGTTATGCTTGCCAAGGAGAAAGCGGAGCGCGTGAGGGCACGAACTTCCTCACGCCCCAGCCGTCGCGGGAGACACTCTGGGCGTCGGAGATCGGCCGACCACAGGCCACCGTAAGTGCGGGTCTGTAGACGAAGAGCAAGGGTAGCTCGCCACCCGACCAGAACCAGTCCCGTGCATACTGCGCGCGCCTTACAGAGCCATGACACCATCATAGATGGAGCCCAGTAGGGCTGATGCTCGATACGGTGCCGTGGGAGGCCTAACGAGTTGACGGGGCTCCGGCTCGACGAGCAGGAGTAGGAACGGAGTGGATTTTAGTCAGTAAGAATCTGTCACTCCCTCTCACCTAACCCAAGGCGGGAGAAGTGATTGGATGATTTTCCGACCTCAAAAAAAATCTCCTTTAGGTAATGACAACCCGATGTGTAAAAAACCACCAAAAAAACTCCTTATATTATTGGTATTGATTACGCTGTGGAAATTATGGACAATAGAGCCAAAGGGGTGTATTAAGTCTTATAGAGGACATTAATATCAACATTAAAGTCCATGTATCATATGTAACTAACCTAATATCAGAATACCTATTTTTTCATTTAAATGTTTGCGATAGTAACGCATGTCGTACCGGTACATATCAGGTCACATTATAGGAGAGAGGAAATCCCAAAATGACGGAAACTATGCGCTAAAAAACCAGGACTAAGGACGTTGAAATAAAGAGGGGCTCTTACCTTTTAAACCATTGAACCTATTTGGTGAAATTCGGTACAGCGATAGTTTGAGACCCGGGAAAGGACATCTAAAAGTTTTTAACCCGAAAAACCCACGAAACCGGGAACTGTGCTGTTAAAATCACTATATCTATTTGATTGAAATGCGATACAACATTGATTTGCAAACATAGAATAGTGAAACCTCACGAGACGGGCACTGTACGGGTAAAACCTCTATGGGATTGTTTATTTTAGAAACCACGAAAATAAATTCATTTCTCAATAAATATAACCTAGGTACTGAATCGATTGTGATGATATTTGTTCCAGTTGTACAGCCGTAGAATATACCTTGACAAAGACTAATTTAAAAACCCAATTTATACAGAAGTCGCTATTTCACGCGGACGAAGTCGCGGGTAACAGCTAGTCTATCATATACGTCTTCCCCCCTTAAAAAAAAAATCATATACGTCTATATACACCTAAGTTTTTTTTCTCAAGGGGGTAAATCATCGAATGACTTCTTCCACCTGGGTGGAATGGGAGGGAGTGTCTGGCTCTTATTGACTAAAAACCACCCCATTTCTACTCCAGCTCTTTGAGCCGGAGCTCCGGTAACTGTTTACGTTCTTCGCAGCTCCATATTGACATCAGCCCTATTGAACCCCATCCGTGGTGGTCTGATGGCAATTAGTTTGCAGGATACTAGTCTAAGAAATGAAATGAATATAACTAAAAACTACCAACTCTTAATACATAAAGCAAAAAAAAAACAGAAGTTAAACATAGTTCATACTATTTATCTTAAATATTATAGACAAGTCAACAAACGACGTTTTATTTGGAAAAACTTAGTCTTACCTACATTTCGTTGTACAACTTTACTTTTGGGTTTTCCCATCAATTACTTAGCTATGTCAATCTTTTACATGCATTTTATTGATCTAATAGTTTGTTTGTATATTTTGACCTTCATCAACATCAATAAAGCATTGTTTTAATGTTTTTTTAACTGTAGCCCAAGATTTATAAGACATTCTTAATGTTCTGTGTGTCTAGCTATTATTTGCTAGTGTCATCCACTACCTAGTTCTAATGCCATCAAATGCTTAAGTAATATAAGGCCTAATATAAGAGCATATTAACACCCAGCTTTTTCTAAGCCTCCAGTCAGTACGGTCTTTACCATAAGGGCACTAGGGGCCCGTGCCCCCATTTTCAGGGGCCCCGAAGGACCGACAATTTTTACAACTAACACACTCGCTACACGTTGCGAGCAGCCGGTTGCCGCGTTCGCTTCCCGCACGAAGCATCTTTGTGTGATCCACAAATTGTAGTTTCGGGGTCAAATGAAAAAGGTAAATGCAACCTCAATACAGGAGAAAATCTAGGTGTAGTGCAACAGTTTTAAAAAATAAACATGCCACAAGGGCTTTAAATTATTGAGTGTCCAAAGGTCCCAGCGTAGTCTACGACGGCCCTGCCTCTTGTCTCGTTATAAAGTTATTTTTATGAAGAGACTAGAGGACAAAATGGATTCTAGTCAAAATGTCTACAAATATGAGTTTCTATCAGTTCTGTAATATTTCATTGAGCAGATGTCACTATACAAGCATCTATAGGCCACGCTTTGTATTAAAAGATAAAGGTCATTTGAAAAGGTCGTTTAATTTCCGTTTATCATAACGTACCTCCATATATTAGGGTCCCGAGTCTACTCTTTTCCTCCAACGGAACCCATTTGCCAATAAGGTTATGCATCGTCGGATACAAACAGCCTTGAGATAGACCCTGAAGGACTCGACATCCGCACAACATCTGCCAACCACCCTGAAATAATTACAGTTTTTATGAAACAACTGCCTTTATTCGCCGGAGGGTCGTGGAAGAATGGACGTGTTAAATTAAACTTTTTGCCAGTTTAAGAAAGTTTCAAATAAGGTGATGGTAGAATTTCTTCTTGTTTAGAGAAAAACTTAAAAAGCCTGATATGAAAATCTTAGTTAATGTCGAATCATCCAAGATAATTCTTTGTGCGGGAGTCGCGCTTGTGAATAGCTAGTTATGTTACTTAACTAGCTAGAATATCAAATACATCAATCTTTAAACTTTACAATATTAATAACTACAGTATATTAATGTATCATCAATAGTTAATTTAATTAACGACACACTTTCAAGTTCAAGATCGTCACTAAAATTTGAACTCAAACAAGCGATAAATAAAGTATAAAACTACTCACATAATAAGTCGCAATAGGAATGAGCAGCGACACGGCGGAGTTGACAGCTATGCAGATGGTGACGAGGATCATACCTCCGTACCTGGCTGCCAGCTCACCACTAGGGATCTGCAGTATTATGTACCCCCAGAAGAAGGAGGAGAGGATCACACTCTGGATCTGCATGTTCCAGTCGAACACCTGGGGCAAAAAAGAGAACCTTCTTTAGTTACAATAATAGTGCCTATCTATTTATGCTAAGATTAGTCTTACGTCATGACGCCAGAATTATTATACATCTTTTTTATTAATGAATAATTGTTTTGAAATGAATATAGCCTTGTATTAAAAACATAACCTATACACATAGGTGCATAAAATAGTGTCCATGTGGTTGTGCCATTAACGTATAAAAATAATATAGTCTTTAACTTCGTGTCATAATATTTAAAAAATCTTAAAGAGAGAAAGCATAAGGTCTTAATTGCATTGACGTTAATCCATGATGTTGCAACTTTCCAAATCATCTCCATAGATCTTTTATCGTATTTTTTATCTCAGCACACGCGAGATCTGTCGAATTTATCAGCACTTTAAGGCCACTGATATTATCTATGTCCTTTTGGTATGATAATCAGCACTTGTAGTAATCTGATGTAGTCAGATAATGTCAGTTTCAATACAACGCCTTATCACCCCCGCGGAGACGTTGCAATACTTTGAATATTTATCCGTGATATCAGTGTTGATAACATCTGATCATTTATAGTTTGGGAGTCGATAAACAAATCATACTGGTTTTATTTGGTGTTGAACAAGAAAACATTTCCGAACGTATTGATCTTTTATTTGAAGGTGGTAACAATAAAATTTCACACTATTCCTTTGAATATAGTTCATCTAACACTATTCATTGTCGTGGCAAGTAGTCGGACTTGGGATTTTAAAGAACCAAAAGTTAACAGAAAACTGAGATACTTGATAGGTTGACGATGCATGTTCCTTAGTGTTTAGTAGCTATATGAATCTATAATATCGAGTATAGCCTTTAGCAGTAGGATATTATTTTTATTGTAAAATGAAACTTTGTAAAACTCTGTGCATCTCCTAACAACATTTAACTAGCGTCGTCGCACGTGTCATAGCGATACTAATTCACAACTTTACGACAACTAGTACATTATGGTTTGTAGATAATTAAACCGTAAACGGACGACTCGCGTCATTGCGAACTTTATTTAGAACAATGTTGCTATTTTAGTACAAAATATACAAATATTTACAGTGTGGTTCTCTATTTTTAACCCAAATTTTAATATTTTGGTGAATCAATAATTGTTTGTGCAAATTAAACTGAAATATAATTATCTACGTAACTATTTTTTACGGGATAAGCCGGTAAACGACCAGACGAATCACCTGATGGCGCCTAGCGCCGATGCACAGTCGAAACACCAGAGGCGTAACAAGTGCATTACCGGTCTTTTGGCGATTACAAATTTGAGGAATGTTGGGGATTCGGGAGTTGGGGAGATTGAGGAGCGAGGTAAGGGCTGTCGGTAAAACATAACACAAGCGTTATTTCACATGGGTTTTCTGTGGTCCTGGTATCACTACGGTCGAGCCAGCCCTCGCACATGTAATAATGGTAATATACCGGACACAATTCCAAACTTCATGCTGTTACGGAGAAATTATCGAAAATCTAACAAATAACTACTGGATAATGTTTTGTCCGACAAGGTCGACACGTCAATGGGATTGTATAAATTATAAACTATAACTGTTTGTTGTTTCAACAATCATGAGATAAATTTATTTCGTGATAATTATCAATTATAAATTAAGTATAATGATAACGCGTTGAAGTATGTTCTTAATTATATTTTATCGTTAACTTCATCAAAAAAATAATAATCATAAGAATAATCACATCGTAGGAGGCTGGCGTTACGTGGATGGATCAAGGGCCTGATACAGAAGGCAGTTCTCCTTGAAACGGCATTTATCGTGAGGAGCTTTCTGTCTTTGGAGCCCAAACCACCGGTAGCTTGGACCATGCTCCCGTTTTTTTTGCTAAGTAGGTAATATTTAAAAATATATTTTTAGGGAGTGTTAAATAAATATATGGAAATAACAATCACATTACAAAGTTTTTAACGTTCACGTCAAACGATCACGTTCAAAATCACACAATGTTTAATCAACAAACAGGTGTTGAGTTTGTCTCCGAATTCCAATTAAACGATTTCTTTGTCTCGTGTCCTTGCCATACTAGTTTCTCATAATATTGTTAGCGAATCCAATTTTAGATTATTTATTATACCTCTATACAATCAAAAACAAGATTGCTATTTATGAAGTCACTTTGTCATATAGGTACAAACTAAGTGGTTAATGAATATTTTTTATTTTGATTTTATGTCTGCTAGTTTATATGTACACAAGTATCTACATCACCACTTTATCGTGGGCTCGCTTCTCATGATCATCCCACATATTTGACAGTCCGTATAATCTGGTTATGTTAATACCTGATGTGTATTTTTTTATGACTGGGGATAACCTTCAAAAGGCGCCTGGTTTTTTGGGGAGAAAGACTGGAGGGTGTGGGATTCGTAAATACCAGAGTTAGTGGATTATACAAAGACTCTCTGTGCGGGAATCGAACGCGTCAACCGTGTCGTTACACGTGCGTGCGTTTCAAATCGTTTGAAAGACCTTTGAAAGATAATAAACAAAATGTTTTAGTTGTAATAAAATGCATTCATGTTTTTTTAGTGTAATCATATTTCTCATTTTTAAGAATAGTTGTTCAAGACCAAACTTATTGTTAATGTTAAAAAATATTATTGTTCAAAGTTGTCTCATAGCTCGATAGATGGCGTTGTCGCAATTAAAATCGAGCTATGGTTTCGTTACCAATGAAACTATAAGGTAAAATTGATTTGTAAGACCAAAATATCTAATGCAATACTAATGTCAAATATATAGAACATATACCAGCTTAGATCAGTACACAGAGGCGGTTTTATTTATATTCACCCCATCTTGTGTGCTAGTAGGTCAGCAGTTCACCTAGTAGCTTAGCTAGGAAACAATAGTAATGATAAGGTGTAATGTAAGGGTGCCACCTGAAAATCAGCGTTGGGCAGGAATGCTCAACTATATGCTGAGGTGGAGGCCCTTTTGACATGTGCACACGCAGTATTATATTATTTATATTATTTATATTATGGTGTTTTTTTTTGTGTATTTAATTTGTTTGTATGTACATTATTTTCTTATATTTTGATGATTTTTATTATTTTCTTTATGCTTTTATGTTTCCTTTTGATATTATGTATTTGTGTAAGTATGTACTTGTATTTTTTTTGTATTTTTTTTTTTTTTTCATAATCTTTGTTTGTGTGCCATGTGCCAAATAAATGCTTTTTCTTTCTTTCTTTTCTTTCTAATTATCTATGGAATCTGAAATCTCAATTTTATGGTTTTGCAATAAGGTCAAAAATAACAAAACGACAGTGATATCGATTGACCTGATAGTGCTCTAGAAGAAGTGTTGCTAAGTACACTTGTCATAAACTAGATTTTATCTTTGATAACAGACTGCTGAATATACGTCAGCATTTACTTGTTTACTAGTTTTCAGATGATCGTTTTGATATATTTATTGGTCACACGACCTATGATAGATCTTTATCGATGTTACTAGCACGTGAATACTTGTCACATTGTAACTTTACATAAAACATAAATAAATTAAATTAAATTGCTATACTACAATAAAAACATCTAGTTGTTCATAAGGTACACCTTATGAATAACTGATGAAATGATACATCATTTGCCCGATACAGAGCCGCGGAAAGCTTCACGGGTTGCCGAGACTCCGACTACAAGTGCAGGAGTAGGAACGGAGTTGGGGATAGTCACGTTTGAGACGATGCCATCAAGGAGTCAGTCTATTCAGATAAAGGGGTAGATCAAAGTTATGATGCGTGTAGGTTTTGTAACTGATTACAAAATTGATACAAACGCAAATCAATCATTGTTTTATGTGAAATGTTTCATAATCTACGGCTGCTGCACTGATATCGTAGTGTCGGTGTGTCCATCGGTTTCAACATAGGCAGAACCACTTCAAACCAGATTATGCACTATCAATAACATGTATTACAATCGAATGTTTAGGTTTTACACAGGATAAAAAAATGACTTGCTAAAATATAACATAATCGCTAAACAGTGATCCGTCTGCTCGTTTGCCTGCCATTCCATAAATAGGTAAATAAATACAGACATTTTCTCGATATGCACAAAAATATTACCAAAGATGAGCATCATAAGTGTCAAACCTATCTGCGAAGCATCATATGGGCGACAAGTAATAGTTAAATACTTGAAAAAAAGGCCATGAACTTCCCACTTTTGTGCAAAAAAAAACTAAAATGTTTAATAATCCGCGATTAAAATAAAAGATTTTTATGTGCAGTAGATGATCGACAAGATAACAGTCGTAGTTTACTTAATCTGTGACAAACAATAATTGTCACTGGAGTGGTTAACTAGTAGTTACTAAACAGCTAAACTTGTAATCGGTTTATGACTTGTAAACAAGTGATAAGGGATGATCTACTTCGATAGCGATGCGCGGAGACGTAGCAAGAGGACTGGATAAAAAACTTTAACTTATTTGTTTTAATGTCGAGGTGGCCCGAAGGTTTTAAACACCTGCTTCTCATGCAGGACGGTGCCGATTCGAAATGTACCAACGGCAAGTACCAATGTGACTTTTTCCGAGTTATATGTACTTTCTAAGATTATTTAGACACCACTGACTAACGGTGAAGGAAAACATCGTGAGGAAACCTGGACTTATATTTCTAATTAAATGTAAGTTTGTAATCCCCAACCCGCATTGAGAAGAGAAGAGGCTTTGCACAGCAGTTGGTATTTTAGGCTGTTGATCCATCAAATACTTTTTTATATAGATTTAGACTAAGTTTAATTTTGAGAATCCCTATTACAAACACGGTGAAATGCAATCGTTACTTATTTATTATGTAAATTGAAACACACGTTAGATATTACGTTACTTGACTCAGATTAGTGTGTCTAATAGCTAATAGTATTACTTCTTTAGAAAGTCTAACATAACTATTATGACCTAAGCAAAAACCAGTCTTTTAGTCATAAAACATGACAACTAGGTCATTCTAAATGTCAAATCTATAAAATGGCTGCATTAAATATCAACGCGCACGCGCACGTGCTATTGTTTACTTTGCATAATTTATTTAAAATATTTGTCCAGAATAAATTATGTGTTTACACACGTCAAGCTAAATATAATATTATAATCTAAGCTCACAATAACAATAAAACTGTGGAGTTTATTTGCTTAAATACTGTGATCACTAGAACCCGACGATTTTTGCGAAAAACAATATTAATTACGCAAATGTACGTTTTTCCCTGAGATTTATTTGTAACTAACTTCTGCCCGCGACTTTGTACGCCGAATTTACATTTTCGTATTTTCCCGTTCTATTCTGTAAATTCTTTTCGGCTAAAAAGTGTCCCATATCCTTCTGGTTCTAAGCTACCACTCACGAATTTTCAGCCAAATCGATGTAACCGTTCTTAAGTTACAAATAGTGACACGACTTTCTATATTTGAAATAGGAATTTCTGTTATTTTTCTATTCGCAATGGGTCGACTTATGCCCTCTATATCGCCTGGTGGTAAGCGAAGATTGTGGTCGACGGAGAACCATGCTTGCCCATAAGCAACGTACCTACTCACTCGGGTTTTATAGACACCTATATATTAGAGTAGTGGATTTATAACGTTGAGGAGGCATAAAGGAGAATTGTATCAAATTATAATAGTTTAAATAAGGGATGTTAAACATATACCTATGGGACAGGTATAGAAAAAAAAAACTTACGCCTTCTCCAGCACTAGAAGTGTCAGTCATGGCAACAATCGCCATACTGATGTTGACCCTCATGGTGAAGCAGATCACCATGGCGAAGAACAGCATCACCACTTGGACGTGCCTCACTCCCAGCACTGGGCCTGGAAATACAAAGAAAAGCATTAAATAATCATTACTAACCTCGATTATTTAGTGAATCGTGTGGTCGCAAAGTTATATACCGACCAAGGTATATGCTGTAAGTAGTAAGTAAGGTATATCCTGGGCGAGGAATAATCACTTTTGTTTATTTTTTGAACCAAGAGTTTTCAAAAAAATCCTCTGAGAAAGCATAGCAATTTGTACTGACATCAGCTCTTATTACATGGCTCTCATATAACGCTATAAATTGCTATAGAAAAGTGCATCACTGTTCACTACACTTTGGAAAATAAAAGGCAAGCTGTTGTGTTCATCATCGAACCATTCTTTTCCTCTTAGGCCTCTCTAATTCCATCAAAAGATTTTTTTCAGCTCAACCAATCACTTCATGGATGTATTAATAAACACATAGCTTGACAGCTGCTCTACCCCCTACGTTGATTAATAAGTCAATACAAACAACAAACACTTCACGTATAAATGATAAATTTTCAACAATTTAGTGCATTTTTCCTTATAGGAAATGATTTATTCAGAATAATTGTAAATAATACGTTAATAACATTTTTTTGTCAAATTAAAACAACTAATATGTTTTCTTTGAATATTAACAGAACAGATCCTTGCAAACCGAACTGTTGTGCCTTACTTACATATTTTTAGTTGACAGCTGTAAAACTTAAAACTAATAAACGATTAAATCCATGGTCAACCAATTTAATAAGAACTCCTTCACTTTAGAGACAAGAACATCCAAATATATTATTAGTATCAGTATTAATGAAAACAATGATTCCTTTCGTAAATCAAATATTCAAATCCCATCGTTACTTCGACAATAAATCATGGCGTCGCGTAGTACCGCTTGGGACCGACAGGCGGCGACACCACGCAACCCAAACCCATTGCCGTCAGAATTTAATTAAGAGTTCGCCTTAAACTGAACGTAATGAAATCGACTTCATACCAATATCTGAGTTAATGAGTTTTTGCAATATCTGCATAATGTTCACCAAGTACGATCGATTCTTAGGTAAAAGTTTATTGCAAGGTAACTGAACATTGGTAGATTGAACAGACCCTTTTGAAGTATGTTTGTTTAGAATATGAATAGTTCCACTCACTAAAAGAGGGCCATACCCTCATGAACAATGCACATGCATAAAACGATATTCCCGTTATATAAAAAGTTTCAATTTGTTAGTTTTTAATGGGACAAGCCCACCACAACCTCCCAAAACTTCTGCAATATCTGTAAGCCAGGATCTACAATAGATACAACCATGAAAACACCGGAACACTGAAGTCCGGCGCGTCCCAGGGATATGAATAACTGTCTTGGTTTTCCGCAACGAAATGAATCAGAACATAATATAAGAGTAGAAGAAAAAAACAATAGTTTCCACTTCAATTTGTTTATTAAATTACCTTAACCTGAAACTAATAAAACTACAAGTAGAAAATATTGGAGTCCTCCTTAGAAAGTAGTAAAAGTCGTAATAGTCGTATTTCATAAAATCAAATTAAAACTATAATAATTATGACTCAAGTCATGTACTCGAGAAAGTGACCTCACACACATACGTCAGCTGATTAGCTGTTACGTAATATAGTATTTATCAGTAAGTCATTACTGAGAGGCGTCCCTAATGTGGACATAATGTTGTTTACTAACAAGTCTATTGCAGACTACATTACAGTGTTAATCTACAACCTGTTGTAGTCCAATAATTATCTACATAATAATATTATACTATTTCTATTTGAATGTTATTTCTTTTTTCTGTATGTTCTATTAATGGTGTGCAATAAAGGTATTTTATTCTATTGTATACTAATTGTATGATAACGCAAAAGTAAAAATTGAAGTGTGGAATAGTGATGCTCTTATGCCTCGTCTACACGTAATATAGTCCCTCCACATGTTCGTGTTTGCTGTTTGCTATAGTTTGCGAAGTGTGTGTACCCAACATTGGATATTGTTACCTACAATCTAACGACAGTACTGTCAAACACCAAGCGGTCACCGGTGACCACGACCTACTGTTGTATAATTGTGTCTATAATGACGGTACTTGACGAGTAATAGATTCAATAAGTTTTACAATCCCTGGAAAAAAAATAATTCAGATTTCACTGACAATTGTAGTTTTGCTTTCAGAGTTCTCATCTCTGCAAATACAGGAAATATTTTGATAACACGGATTGAGTCCAGATCAAAACATTCATCTTACATTGTTACAATTATCAAGGATTTTGTTATCAATACATCGATATTGTTTCATTGAACTACCTATTGGTAACAAATATGAGTTGATGGATTCAGCTCAAGAACTTTTTCCTCCTTTTACTAACTATTATTATTTTGAAGGGTCTATATCCAAAACATAAAAGTAGGACCTATTATATATTATACTAGCAGTTGCTCACGACTTCGTTCATATGGAAGTGTGATTCACAGCTCCTCCCCCGTAGATGATAGCGTGATAATATGTAGCCTATAATATGTTGACCCGACCTGTTAGTAATATTCATGCAAAATTTTAAGTAAATCCACGTAGTACTATTGGAGATCATCCCGGACATACATACAGACAAAAAATCTAAAAACTATATTTTTGACTTCGGTATAGATTGTAGATCACGCCTCAACCATTCTTTAAAAAAAAAATATTCGTTGTACCGTTTTCACTTTCCTACGATTTTATTATATGCATAGATTGGACGAAGATACGTGAGGTCCACGTTAGCATCATTTGGTAAACAAAATATTGGCAGGCATGTATTTTTGCATTTTCTATAATTTTATTATATGTATAGATAGATAGGGACACCGCTATCTGCCTCCATGTTGTCTCATTAAACGTGCTAGCCAGGCAATTGAACTCACATTACTGTGATCGCAATAACCACATAAAAAAATATTTTAGGGGTTCTTCCATGCAACTCCTGTTACAATATTTGCATAGATACGGACACTTGGTATGTAGTTAGAATATACTTTTGTCTAGGTTTAAAAAATAGACAAAACTGTCGAATTTACTTTGAACAAAATTAACAGGTAATGCATAACAAGATAATATGTGAGCGAGGTATAATGAATTCAAGTTTCAATTGTATTTAATCTTATCTTCACGCTCGTGTCCCGTCACGGGTGAGCAGACACCCAGCCATTGTTTGCTTACAAAGTACTCACAATACTTATAATATTGTTGCATCAATTAGTTTTATTATGAACACGTGATTTTAGGTAATATAAAACATTATATGTGACGTGTAACGTAATATATGTAATAAATGTATTATGGGTAACAATAGAACATTCTATGGTCTGGTCTATAGTAAATAGTATTAATGACAGAAGTCCAAGTTTCATTTAAAAGGGGTACTGTATTTCCATTGAATAGCATAAAGTACCTACGGGGGCAATGAGGAAAACATCACACTTTAGATTATATCAACGCGAAAGGAATCTTTAGAAAAAACATAGTATTTAAGTAGGTAAGTAACTATAAAATGGCTCTAAGGAAAACTGTTACCATAAATATTGAACATTTCCTTGTGCCAAGATAAAAATAGTAGGTACTCGTATTTGTGAATTACCTAACTACTGAAGGTGTAGACTATTTGTGTTTTTACTTATTGCTAGTTATGTTAAAATTTATTGCTAGATATTTAAAAAAATGTTTTTGTTAAACATAACATAACGCCTTTTATTCCCGATGGGATAGGCAGATATGCACATTACGGCACTTAATGCCACTGTACAATGTATCACCCACTTTTCACCATTTATGGTATGGGTCCCATGTAATAAGGGTTGAGCCTATTGCCATATACCAGACGCAATTCCAGACTCCGTGCTACTACTGAGTTTTTTTTAAATACTTAGTAATACTTTGCCCAACCCGGGAATCTAAACCGAGACCCCTTGCCCGACAGTCGCAGTTGCAACCACTCGACCAACGAGGCAGTCCAAGTAGTATTAAAGTCATCCATTATGCTCAAACTTTAATCTAGACTGCATTATTACTAAGATTTTTGCAATCTGAGTAGGTAAAACTTTGCTCCACCGTGATCTTGAATACTTACGAGACCTTTCCTCATAAAGATCATTCACATCAACATTATGTAATCAAAATCCTTTATGATTGAACTCCTGGCTAACAAAAAATGTACAGTTTCTATGTTTTGACATTAACATAGTCGATCAACCAGCTGATTTGATTTCCGGGTCAGCAACAAGGTTGTCAGTCAGTCCTTTCCATTTCAAAAAAATGTTTTCTATTATGTATTGCTAAGATTTTGGAAATGTGTTTTAGTGTAGTAACAATATGTTTTGTACGTGTATTCAGTGGTCGCAAGTAATCGGTCTCAAGTACTCTCGGTGTTTAAGTAGGTACCTCTAGAACATATTGGCAATATCAATACGCGGTGGAAGGGAAGAGAAGCGCTGGGCGAAGGAAAAAGTCGTAGCTGCGCAATATTCGGGAGTGGACTGGTATCAGCTCTGTGGAACAACTTTTTCTCCTGGCCAATGACAAGGACCAATCCAAATAGTTGACGGCCAACTTTCAGGAATGAAGTGGCACCATAAGAAGGAGAAGAAGAATATGCAAATTAGTAGTTTTTTAACCGACTTTAAAAAAGGAAGTGCGTGAATATCTCGCGAATGGCTAAACGATTGTGATGCTGTTTTCAGAGAAATATTTGTTTATATGAAATGTTTCAGTATATCAATAAACCGATTTCAAAAATAGAGGGGGTTGAAGTCGGTGTTTTAAACGAAAATTATAAAAGAATTATTGTTTTAACTGGTAATAGAGTTTAATATCACAAGAAAAATATTTTGGTCCCCTGGTGACTTTTGAGAATAAGTACCTGTAAGTATACTTATGTTTATACTCAAACATTTGCTGCTTAGGATACATATTGAAGTGGTTATTTACATCCGAGATAATCTTGACAATGTCTCACTTGATAACATCAATTGACAAGCTCAAGTGATGATTTTTATGTCACTAAAAGTACTAAGAATTCATTCGACCTTGGCTCTAAAAAAACATATTTCTTTACCTATGTTATGGTTTTTGCATTACACAAATTAACGTACATTGATATTCATATATAACTAATTACCTAGTTCTTTTGTTTATATATATATATTTATGGTTTATTAAGGATCTTTTTGTGTGAAATAGTTTGGTACCTATATAAAAAGATTAGTATGTATGTACATACACACAGACTTCGCGGTTAATGGACACCGTAGATAATGATCACTTACTTATGGTGTAGTAACAACTCCACGGGGAATTACGGGTATTCTTTTATATTTCTTTTAGTTTAGAAGAAAAATAACCTTGAGTATTAATCTTTTCACAATTATAGACCTAAATTCACTTAACAATAAAAAATAACTTGTTAAACTTGACTAAGTTGAAATTATTTTTGTACTATTATTTTCGACTATATAAATAATACTATTATCCTTGAAGAGGTATGCAGAGGTGCACATTACTGTACTTAATGCGACTGTACAATACAACATCCACTTTTTACTATTTATATTATGTGTCCCAAGTAATAAGGGGTGAGCCTATTGCCATATATATATATACAAAATAATAAATGTATAAATTGTATTCAAAGAATCCCCACAGTTTAAGGTAGCTTGATGATCCAAAACAAACAAGATTGATATAGTAATAATTGAAACAGCTGGTAGGTAAAGAGTTAATTAATATTAAATAGGGTTTTTAAAACGTTGACATTCTTAACAAAAAATGTTTTAAACTTACACAACTAATAGAGAGTAAATTAACAGTTGTTCTAGGTCGAAACAACAATCACCGACATTAAAAGTAAAAAAAGCAAATAATTAAAAACTCACCTTTATCCATTTTATTAGATTCTTCAGGCATTTTCTTTAATAAAACTGATAAAACTAAACTGCACAAAATTTATTAAATTATGTTTTAAATAAATTCTTTATAATATTTTAAATAATAATATTAAATTATTTCATCACTAAAATAAATAATATTATAAATTCGTTTATAATTTCGTCGCGAGGCTGCGCGCTAGTGTTGCGCGCGCGCTACCTGTCGATAGACTCACTCGATTGTTTTTCACGGGCAAAGGCATCTCAGCCAATGCCACGGACAATTTATGTATTGTTTATGGTACAGCTGTGATGACGTTTTGCGGTTACAAGTAGTAATTAAGTAGCTACGCTGTAAAATAGTAGAGGTACATAGACTGATCCCTATTATGTAGACTATTTGATAAATTTATTTATTTGATTACAACTGTAGTAGTGTAGATACAATACCCAATTACACTACTCAATGAAGAATTATTTAATAAAAAGAAAAAAATGTGAAATTTAAATAATTTATTATTATTAGTTGATATCGTATATCCATCTCTAATGCAAAAATAATGTTCTTTGACTCAAAAAAATAAAATAAAGAATCATGTCTTCTGAGGTGGGATGAGGCGAAAGGGAGTGTCAGACTCTTCCTGACTAACTACTCCGTAATTATTTCAGCACTTCGAGTCGGAGCCCCGGCAACCCGTTAAGTTCTCCGCGGCTCCGTATTAGCATCTGCCCTGTTGGGCTCCATCTGTGGTGGACTGATGGTTCTTTAACGGAACGCGACGCACCCTATGATCGGGTCTGGTTTGGGGCTTACTCTTGAATCCAATTCCGATCCATCGACATTGGTATTATGAAATTTGGTACTCTTCAGTTGCAACACTAGCGCCCTTTGTATTACGTGGGCATTAAATGAAATAAATTACATTAAGTTCAGGTTTATATTCCGTACTCTAAATGCTATTTTAGCAGCAACGTTTAGAGTTGTATAGTTTTGACATTAAATAAATATTGAGATTTTATCGAATTGATATTGTATTGACATTGAGATTGGTTTCAAGAGAAAGCGCCCTGGTCCGCAGGCCCGTGCTTACGGTGGCCGCAGATTGTCTCGCGAAGTTGTGTAAATACTTAGGCCACAATTAATTTTAAAAATACAATTACACTCTGGGTTTGAATCCAGGCATTAAATTAAAAGTAAAGAATGGATGTTGAATTAAGAATGTCCCACAAAATACGTGATTTCTGTGGTGAATAGAAATATTATAAACTAAAGCCTTGTTATTACAATAGTTTCTCATGCTCATAATTAGTATAGTCCCTATCACCATAAAATATGATCTCTTCTATTATACTCGTAGTTATAAGTTTGTTACTATCTTCTGTCAACGACTTCGCGAGTGTTCTCGTTTGCATTTGAGGCATAAATGTAGACCATAATCTAACTCTGTTCCAAATTTTCGACCCCTTCAGTCGTTTTGACGTGCTGGATTAACATAACATAACAACACGCCTTTTTATCCCCGAAGGGGTAGGCAGAGGTGCACGCAGAGATAACACCGACTTTTCACTATTTATGTTTAGAGTCCCATGTAATAGGGGGTGAGCCTATTGCCATATACCGGGCATATTTCCAGACTACGTGCTACTACTGAGATTTTTTTAAAAAAAATCTAGTAATACTTTGCCCGACGTGGTAATCGAACCCGAGACCCCTTGCCCGGCAGTCGCACTTGCGACCACTCGGCCATAGAGGCAGTCAAGTAGCCAGGATGAAACGTGGCCGGCAATATTGCACACATTTACTCTGCGGAAGATGGCAACAGCTGAACTAAAGCCTCCCCCTCTCCCTCTCAATCCCACTCGTTAATTGAGTACTTTCATCATGCAAATAAACCTCGGTCATTTATCCAAACATATTTTGTTTCGATCATGTTTGTAATCTTCATATGGCTATAAAATCTGTTGCCAAAAGTGCAACCATATTACATACAAACTCCCCGTGGAATAAAAAGTATCCTTTGTATTGTTGAAGACCATAATCTACCCCAGTTTCAAATTTCATCCCGATCACTTGAGTCGTTTTGGATACCTGATTTGATAGTAGGATTCATGCCGAAGCAACCTAAATTAGAGATGTTTAGGCCTATTGCCATACAATGGATACACTCAAAGCCCCTGCCGTGGCAATTAACTAATTATTATAGATAATTTGTTTTATATCAGTAAGATACGTTTAAACCTGACTTCATATTCTGAGATGGTCGTGCCCCCAAGCTGGACTTTCCCTGGCCAGTTTTTCGTGACGTCAGCTTACTCTTCCTCAAGGAGGATAATGTGCAATAAGGTTCATTATTGTCTGTACGTACTGACACCGTGACGTAACGGTATACGTAAGTACTACAATGAGGTAATCCTCCGTCTATCTTCATTTCCTCAACGACCGTAATGACGATTCATGATAAATATTGCAATTTTGCCTCCTGAATATTTTGTGTTTGCTATGGTTTGTGGTTTTTCCTGTTTTGATCTATCCTTATATTTCTTGACTTGTGGTTGTTGTTTTGTGAGACACATCTTAGTCAATTTGGGGTTTTGATGATCTTGATTTAATACTTAGATCGGAGGTAAGTAGGGTGTGTTAATTGCGCAAAATAAAATCATTTATTTCAAGTAGACCAGAAGGGCACTTTTGAATGTCAACAAAAAATTTAAAAGTGAAGCTATTTGCTCATCCCAAGGTGTAGATTCCTATGAAAAAGGGACGAGCAAGAAACTCTATAGGTTGCCCTTTTTCAGTCAGGTTCACAATACAATTCTCTAGTTACATAGTTTTGTGGGTCCAATTGTTTGAGAACAATGTCACACTAAGTCAAAGAAATCGGAATGGATCGGTGAAAGTTCTGAAATTAGGGTTTGATCTATATGTAATCGTTTATTATATACCAGTGGCCAGTATTTATACGTTAAAATAAATGGAACAAATAATTATTTTCGTACATTATTTTATTGATAAAAGATAACTCCTCTTCAAACCACTTTGTCAGCACTTTTGTCTGATGTTTCACCTGTAACAATAATAATTTTCAATCAAAATGAACACAAAAGAAAGCAATCGGAAAATGGAACAAGCGAGAATAGTTTTAATATTTGTAAGTAAAGAAAATTCTTATTATAGAGAAGACGTTATGATTATCATGTTGGTAGACAATTCAATTACATTACCAGTTTGATTCTCGGGTGGCTCGTTCCATTTCTGCCTTTCACTTGTGCCAAAAATGAGATAAAATGTATTCCCCGCAATGTATACTGTAGATGCTATGTAGAACACTTTACGCCATTCGTTGGGGTCCGTCTGGCAAAGAAGAAAATAATATTAAGACGGTCTTATTCATAAGAAAACTATAAAATATTGTACTTGGTTGGAAAGATAACTACAGACGATTGTAATATTAGATCGTTCTTTTCCACGCATTTTATACTATTGTACTACTTACCTACGTCATTAAGTATAACATAAAAGTCATTATAGAACTGGTATAAGTAGGTGTCACATAAATACAACTCCTATGTTATTGTACCTAATCTATATGCCTCGCGCAGTATTACAAGTGATCCAATAACATAACAGGTGTTATAGATAATGTATACCTCTAGATCCTTTATATACATAAATAAAAGATTTGAATTAAATCGGTAAGATTTCAGTTCATTTTAAGTAGAGACAGTATTTTTTTTGTTAACAGAGGTAAATATATAATGTAACACTTTAGAATGATCGATCGTCGGCGGGCCTTCTTTATATGTTCTGTGGTCGGCGGTATTTCCGAACCAAGTAGTTACCATCAGGTGATCCGTCTGCTGGTTTGCCTCCTATTTCATAAAGAAAACAATTGAAAGTTGGGTTTATACTAACCTCATCTTGCAAGACAACTCCAGCCACCAGAGGCGCTATGATAGATGTAATGTTAGCAGTCCCATTAGTGATGCCCAGCAATGTGCCCACGTAGTTTGGGGCCATGTCCAAGTGCACCAGCTAGGACAAGTTCAAATTATTTTAATAGAAAGAGCACTAAAACTTGATTTAGAATATCGGTTTGGGTGCAGTATTTATTTCGAAATTTTTGGTTTCGATTTTGTCACATTTTAGGCTTAACGTAGGGTGTAAAGCATAAAAATGGTGAGTATTTTTACATTGGTAGATAGTATAAACATCATATTATACCGTTAATGAAAATGCTACGGGAAAATAGTTCACTGTAGTAATAAATGATATAATAGCCGATAAGAGTTTCCGCCTCTAAAGTTATTATAATTTTATTTACTCATCGAAGAGGCCAGAGGTACAGCGAGTGTAGTACAAATTTATTTTACGACACATTTATGACGTATAGCACTCTGATTGGCATATTCTAATGAACTAACCAATCAGAGGGCTGAACGCTGTAATGATTTGATTTCGTTAAACATAAAAGAAACTCATACTAAGCCCTCAGTTTTCCTGATACCTCTTAAATGGCCTTCGCGTTTGCAGTCAGTCAATCAATGAGGTAATAAAACATGACCTACACAAAACAATGTATATCCTATCAACATAGTTGCTTACCATCAGTCCAGTGAGGTGGCCAACGTTGAGTCCCACCACGATGGTGAGGAGTATGACTGCCAAAGTAACATTACCAGCCGGTACATACGACAGACCCACCAAAGCAATTGCAGGACCGTAGAACCCTGATCAAAATATGACGTTATCAAAACAACTTCTTCTGTCATAACCTAAGTATAACACAAATAAGTTAAAGTTATGATTTTCTATATAATACTTAACTCATTTAAATATGTTAAGATTGTGACTATGTTAGTATAATAAATCAATTTAAGATACTTGCAATAATGCAAGGCGAATGACCTCCATGTTAAACAGACGCATGTATTCGATGATCGTTCTTCTCATTGGAACAGGTATTTTACTGTTGCGGGGTTTTATGGCTGCATTTTTTGTAATAATCTCAATTTATCCTCATTTACTGATATTATATTATATAGTGCTGATGCACTATGTATAATGAAAGGATAATTCCTTCCTCATCAACACTTCTCTTCACTTAAATGTTTGTGGTGATGTTTTACTTTCCCCTTGAAACCTCAATTAAATAGAAATTTTAACCTTATTCTACATACCTATAGAGTTGGATAGTTTCCTGGTAGCAGTCACGCTGAGGTATTTCTTGTTACGAAGGTAATCGGACAGGTAACCAAACGGAAAACTTAGGAAATACACAGCCAAGTACGGTAACGCTGACATCATACCATTCTGGGGAAAGAAAGGAAATTAGACACATAATGCCCAAACAAGGAAAATTAGTTACTAATGCATAGACACTGGGTATTCATTGCCACATCATGAGTTGATAAAATGAATTATATGGTGGTTTGACGCATCTAAATATTATTTCAAGTAATTTACCAATGATGTCTCACCGCTTTAATGTCTACGTCAAGAACTTTCTTCATGTATGATGGCATCTCCGTCATGAGTGTCCAGTAGCCCCAGTTCTGGCTGCAGTGGAGTATAATAAGTGATAAGAATGGGATTGATGTCCAAATCGCTTTCCATGGAGTCTTTAATTTCTGAAACGAAAAAGTCATGAACCAGATAATTATGTTCAATTCTGTGGTTGAAATCTTTAGTACCTATACTATTTTTAATACATGTCTGAGGACAAAATATCAAACATATCCTAACCAACACTTTGGTATAGATGAAAATCTCCTCGACAGAATATACGACCATGTTATACAATTACGTTATACGATAGGGAAATTAAGTAAAAACAGTATGGGTAATGTTTTAAAAACATTGACTTCCTACGTAGGTTACTTGGTAGGTGATCAGTTATGAGTACATCGCATCTAAAGCATATGAAGAGTTAAATAAGATACTAGAATAATACAAAAGTACCGCACCTTTTGTCCCCCGACCTGTCCCAAAGACGTCTGTATATACAAACGCACTTCTGCACTGATTAACTTGGACTTTTGTGGTGAATCAGACCCCAGGATAATATAAAGCACCACCCATACGGCTCCCACTGCCCCATTTACATAGAAGATAGCTGGCCAGCCCCAAGCGTCTGCTATGAAGCCTGATATTAACAGCTGGATTGCATTGCCAAGCTGAGATCCTGGAAATAATACATTAGTTTGGATCATCATCATTAGCAGCCTGTTATTGTTATTTTAGAATGTTCATAAAACTTGGGAAAAGATACATTGGTACTTGTTTGTCAAGTTTCAAACTTGCACCCACATGATTGACAATCGGGCACCTTAATCTCTGGGCCATTACGATTACATTGCGGATAGTCTATACAAATAATGAAAAAAGATACGTGAAATGAAGTAGAAACAGTTAAAACAAGGACAGCAATTTATCTAGACTAAAAGATAAATTGGCTAGATTGCTTCGTAAGTCGATCGTATGTGGCTGTCAAACATATAGTCTACAGTTTGATACAATAAAGATTTTCTATTTTAAAATTGTCTCAGTAAATGCAACGGAGCCTGGATCCGCGCCAAGTAGACTTGTAACATAATTGAACTGAAAAATATTTATTCAAATGCAATACTAGAAACAGAATACAAACGACGAAGAATACAAAACAAGTTGTAGTATTTTTTATTTCTTTTATTTTGGCGCCTAACTGACAAATTTGCCTGTATTGTGGTCACAACTGCAGAACAAAGGTACTCAAGCGTATAAAATTAAATACCACAGCCAAATACGGAAGAAGAATATTTTTTTCGTGTGGAAATCGAACTTCAATATAATGTATGTATGTACATGCAATTGTCACTAAACCGCGACCTAACGGGTTATCGGGAGTAGGAACGGAGTGGTTTGTAGTCAGTACAAGTCTGACACTCTCTCTCGCCGCACCCCAGGCGAATGAAGTTAATTAGCATTTCCCCCTTAACTCGTCGAGTACCGTCATTATGGACACAATTATAGAACAATAGGTAGCGGTCACCGGTGACCGCTTGGTGTTTGACAGTTTAAAAGAAAGCCATACCACTGTACCAACCATACAGCCAAGTGTCAACTTCTTCAGTATACACTAGTTAATTATAATATCATTTAGTTTACCTGAATTAATGACTGCACCCGTCCGACTCTTCTCATCCATCGGGGTCCACTTGCCAATCAGATTGTATATCGAAGGAACCACAAACCCTTGAGATAAACCTTGAATGACACGACACGCACACACCATCTGCCAGCCACCCTAGAAATAAAAAAGACTTCATTCTCCATATTATTTAAGGAAATTTCTGCAAAGCAGGGATAAGAAATTATAAGTGTTATTATGCAATTTGTGGGATAAACTTAGAAATATAATGCTAATCAACAAAAAAAGAAGTGAATGTGTAACGAATACACAGCGCCATCTGGAGTTGTCTTCAATTCATTCCGCTAGCTAGAGGATCAGAGTTCGGTAGCTATGCAGCAAATTCTAGATCTAAGTACGACTAACTTAAGTTCGATAGCCTAGCGGTCTTCTGGAATTTGCCAGCTAGGGGAGGTCTGAAAGACGATAGCCACGCCGTCCCTTTCATCTCCTTCACTAAGGGTTGCAACTAACTTTATTAGTTTATAGTAAATTGATGTAACAGTGAAGTTGCCAATAAAAATAAATAATCATCAAGATCACCGAGGCTTCTATTTCACAATCAGCAACCCTACTAATATGATTATGTATTGACTGTTGGCAGACAACTATTGAAGGCATCCTCTACTAACGTAGACAACTGACCTACGAAGCGGTTAACCTGTTAATTAAAGCAAACAATATATTCACATAATAAGCAGCGAATGGCACTGCCAGTGACACCAGAGCGTTGACAGCGATGGCCGAAGTAACGAGGATCATGCCTCCGAACTTGGCAGCCATCTCTCCAGCAGGGATTTGCAGCACGATGTAGCCCCAGAAGAATGATGACAGGATCACGCTTTGAATCTGCATGCTCCAGTCGAAGGACTGAAAAGAATAAATCAATTATTTTTTTCTGTCAAGTTTAGGTAAGGATCAAGTAAAATAAGTCGAATATTGAATTTTACGACTGCCTCGTTGGCCGAGTGGTCACAAGCGTGACTGCCAGGCAAGAGGGGATTCCCGGGTCGGGCAAAGAATCACCGGGTTTTTAAAAAAAAATCTAAATAGTAGCAAGGAATCTGGAATTATGCCCGGTATATGGCAATAGGCTTACCCCCTATTACATGGGACTCGTAACATAAATAGTGAAAAGTGGATGTTACATTATTGTACAGTGGCATTAAGTGCCGTAATATGCACCTCTGCCTACCTCTTCGGGGCTAAAAGGTGTGTAAAGTTATGTCATGTTATTGAATTTTACGAGCAGTGACTAAATGTCCTCAGGAAGTTCTGGTTTTAAGCTCATGATTACTATTAATGGTGACTTTAGTTAAGAAATCAATCCAACCAATCAATTCTATAGGCTAACGTGGTCTAATAAGGATTAAAAAAAACTACTTACATTTTCCAGAGATTTATCTGTCATAACAACTATAGCGATGCTCATGTTGACCCTCATGCCGTAACAAATCACTAGCGCGAAGAACATCATCATCGTCTGCACATGGCGGATGGGGAACTTGTCCTCTAAAACAAACAATTCATTTTTTTTATGGAAAACAGACGTCCATTAGATAATTGAAAAGAAAATGCGTAATTTTGTCAAATTTTTTAATGGTTATTATGAGTCTGAGAGATTTAATTCACAATTGTGTAAAAATTTAAAAAGAAAATTACTATCAACGCCAACTTCATTTTGGTGAGTTACATTTTGGAAGGTTTTTATTCACATAAACGAGTTCGACCTCATATAAACCTGTGTAAACAAATTGATGTTTTCATTTAAAATGTAATAACTTTATTAACATTAAATGTTTACATTTTAAGTTCGTTGCATAAATCAGAGCAAAATGTGTAACAAAACATTTTGTTTATCGTGTGCAGAATAAAATATTTTTCACGCAATGTCGCTTTAGAAATGATAATAATTCATTTCGCTTACTGTGAAAAATAATCCTCAGACAAATGCAAAATGGTTAAATCATTTGTGATTTATTTCACTTACATACAAACACATAAAACTGTATGCCAATGAGGTAGGCAGAGGCGAAGGACTGCAAGACGACACGATTATTAACCGACTTAAAAAAATAGGAAGCCGTCTTTGACCTGTACGTATGTATATATTATGTTTGTTTGGCTGAAGCGATTTTAATCCAGTTTGCGTAGAAGATTTGAGTTTAGTCATTAATAGATTTAAAAAAAGGAGAAGCGGTCCAAGTAGGTTTTTTTAACCGTAGTTTACAAAAAAAATATGACATACATAGGTATATTCCTGGCTGTCACTTCATCAACTCATATTCAACAATATCTCCATACAAGTTCTGTTTTACTTGATTCTTTTACGTCATCTGTTTTAATAACACGTCCTACCATTACCTCAATTCAATTTAATGACAAAATCACGCGTTACCAAAAACATAATTGTATAATTTCATAGTAGATCTTAATGTTTTCTTTGATGAGATCACTTATCATAATAATGAATGAATTGTATTAACTATCTTGAGACATACTATATTAATTAAAAGTAACGATTACTTATGTAAAATACTGAAAACGCTCTACTAGTTTCGAGTCACAGAGGGACTCTTTCTCATGAGCAACGTATTTTTTTTAAGAAGGGAAAATCATCGATTGACTGCTCCCGCCTGGGTGAGGCGGGAGGGAGTGTCAGACTCTTACTGACTAAAAACCACCCCGTTCCTTTTCCTGCACGTCGAGCTAGAGCCCCGGTTACCCCTTAGGTTCTCCGCGACATGAGCAACGTATGCGCTCGCAGTGATGTCACGAGTTCATTGCGTCCACGTCGGTCGTTATCGCGTCGGTATTTTACGCAAGTAAATTGGAATTATTAATAAAAACTGACAGTAAATTCCTTTCCTTATTTTAATTTTATAAGATTATAAATAACTTACTGGGCTTCTTAACTTCACCATCTTCTGCACTCATTTTTTAATTCAGTCGTTTATAGATACAATCAGATCGTACTGGTATTTTGAATATTATGACATTGTTGACAAACTTGTCTTTGGGTTTTTTATTGATAACGGCTTGACACAATCGGTGCGCACTCTGATAGTGTCACGGCGATCACCCAGAACGCACTCTTGTGATAACACATCTTAAATACACGACCGTGAACAATTGTAACGTTGAAAGGATTTAATAATTTTACTAACAAGTGGAAAGGGTCTTGGACATTTTTAGAACACAATACGTGTTATAAAACTATAATAATATCTACAGTGTGAGTTATTCACTTTAAATAAAATTATATAATTAGTCTCAACATCATATGGCGCTACATCACTCAGTACCCAATTAGACTCTTGTACTAATAATACTGAGAATAAATATTCTTTAACCCTTTTTTTACTCAGTATTGAAGTATAATCATTTAACAAAAAAGGCAGTGCAACCGATTCACAATACTAAAAACTATTTGTAGATAATTTACAAATAAAAACTTTGTATAAAATAACTCTATTTTATAACGACTTAGATAATCAACAAGAAATACTATAAATACATAATAATACATAACAGTTGTTTCGTTAAATCTGTCCATCTAGTTGCTTGCTTGTCAACGTTTCAGTTCACTGAGCATCTATTTTAGTTGCTCACTCGTCCAGCGCTTGTTATGAATTACTTTTTATACAACTTAAGGCTCGATACAACTTTTTAGATACAACATTTTTAATTGAATCATTTTTTTCCGGAAGATGATACGGTGTTGTTTTATTATTTATTGGTTTTCCTTGAATTTACTCTTTTTAATGACATCTTAGTTAGATTCACATCTTAGTATGTTCTGCTTCAGTGTTCTTGGTTACTGAGTGACAGAGTCGTGGTAGCCCGGAGGTTTTAGACGTCTGCTTCTCATGCATGAGAGTGATTAAAACCTACCAACGGCAAGTACCAATGTGACTTTTTCCAAGTTTATCTAGACACTACTGACAAACGCTGAAGAAAAACATCGTGAGGAAACCTAAGCATATCATTTCTAATTATAAGTTTGAAATTGCCAACCGGCATTGAGCAAGTATGGCGATTAATGCTCAAACCTTCTCCGTCTGAGAAGAGGCTTTTAGTCAGCAGTGGGCAGTTATAGGCTGTTGGTGTTGTTGTTGTACTTGATCACATAGTGTGGACTTAAGGTACGTAAATTAAACACCTAATAAATTGCATGTTCAAGAGCAAATTGATACTTTGTCTCCAGAGCATTAGAGTTGAGATCAAAATACAGATGGATTCCACATTCACTCGTCAAACATTAATGAAATAAATAATATCTATCAACAAGACTGTTATCATTTCATCATCCCAATGAGTGCACACAGTACCATTAAATAATATATTTGCAATTCATAGAATAAATATTTCAAAATATAAATGAGTTTAAAATATTTGACTCTTCAATCTGAGTTGTGTACTTTAGACAACAGCTGATCAACCTTCACCTTACTATCTCTTGGATTTTCAGCTCTAATTGATTTGAATTAGAGTCGAAATTCCTTTGAGAACCGTTTCCGATTAGAGTAACTTGATGTGCTGTCTACCTGACCTGCACTTACATTGAACTTATACATTTATGTATGTCATGTGACTCACATTACGTTGTTTCAACAACAAACTCTCCCCTCTTCTGGAGGATAAGGTATCTTCTGAAGGAAATTGAATTTGTTCGAGCATCAACTTGTAAGGAAAATTAAAAGTTGATAATGGAAGCAGTTTAATGAACGCTACTGAACATTTCAGGATCGCAGTCGAGTGAAATGTTTAGACGGTAATAGGAAATGTTTACTTACAACTTTATTCAGGAAACATTCAAATCGGTACACGAAGGTGGTACATCAAGCCACATAACGTATGATGCTGGTGGATATCAACTCTAGTCATAGTTAGAACTAGTATAAATGCATACTAAACGACTAAAACCAACAAACAAAGTTGTCAGTAAGTATTATCTCATTATACTTACTTTTATAGATTTAATGTTATTTTTTTAATGATTAAGTAGGTTATGTAATAGTATATAATTTTTTTAACTTAAAAAGGTTATATGTTTTTTAATATTTTATTTTACACTAGCTGTTGACCGCGACTTCGTCCGCGTAGATTAATGACTTCTGACAGAATTCATCAGAATCAATTCAGTGCCCAAGTAAGATTTACCTATTGTGAAATGATTTATCGTAGTTTCAATAAATAAATAATCCCGCAGGGATCTTACCAGTACAGTGCCCGATCACGTAAGGTTTGAGTAATAAAAACTATTCTATCGACTATTGTTGTACCGAATCTCTCTAAAATAAGTTCAGTGGTTGAGAGGTAAAGTCGTTCCCGTTCTCGTGGGACTTCTGTGATAAAAACTATCATACGTTACCCAGGTCCCAAATCATCGTTTTACCGAATGTAATTCAAAAAGATTCAATGATTCCAGATTCAATGGCTAAGAAGATATATTATACAAACTCTCATTCCCTATTTTATCCCCTTAGGGGTGGAATTTATCAAAATCCTTTCTAAAGAGATACCTATGTCATAGTAAATGTATGCATGCAAAGTTCCAGCCCGATCGGTGTAAAACTGACAAAGTATCATACAAACTTTCATCCCCTATTTTACTCCCTTGGGGGTGGAAATCATCAAAATCCTTTCTTAGCGGATGCCTACGTCATAACATCTATTTGCATGCAAAATTACAACCCGATCGGTTTAAAACTGACAAAGTCACATACAAACTTTCATCCCCTATTTTACCCCCTTGGGGGTGGAAATTATCAAAATCCTTTCACAGCGGATGCCTACGTCATAACATCTATCTGTATGCCAAATTTTAGCCCAATCTGTTCAGCGGTTGGGGCTGTGCGTTGATAGATCACTATGTCAGTCAATCAGTCAGTCAGTCAGTCAAACACTTTTGAATTATATATATATAGATTATCAATCAATAAATAATCAAAAATATGATTTCAATCGAATTAGTCTGTATTCGCTTTAAACCCATATACACCATTAACATGTAAAAATGCGACCTTCATTTCAAAAAAACGAGTACCAAAAACAGTAATGAGAAGACCATTGACGACACTTTTTAAATAGTAATGCACGAGTTATGACGTCATACATACCGTGACCGACTAAAATTAAAAATTCTTTCATTGAAAAAATTCAGTACATGAATCTTCGAAATTAAATCGAGTGAATCTGCAAAGAATATAGCAGAAAGTGCACACATAATGACATTATTCTGTTGAAGGCAAAATTAGACAACGTAATCCAGCACCTATTTAAAAAGAATTCCCCAAAGCTTATTGGCTGTTTTGTTCCAACCAACTACAAAATGCCAGGTAGAAAATACGTATTGAAAGGCTGATTTATCTTTGTAAGATTCACTGCTCTATTTTGAATCCTAACCTGTGGAAGCCAAGGTTGATTTTCTCATGAAAGGTAGTATCTTGAAAATTGCTTCCAAATGCACTGCTATGAAAGGAGGAAATGAAGATAATGAGTAACACTATCCTCCAGTTAGAACAAAAGAAGTTTCTGCGATAAACTGGAGCATTTAAGTGGTTCAAAACATCATCAACGTTTTTGCGCCTTGAATATTATGTGCATTAAGATTTGTAGGATTGTGAATTTTTGTCTAATTATTTTATTATATAGTTTAATTTAACCGTAGTTACAAATATAAATCAAAGTTTCGTATAGGTACCTCAAATGAAGCATTTTATCCTTTTGTATAATGATTACTGAATTTTTGACTTGACTTTATCATCGGATATTTTATAGATGCAGTCTCAACTTATCTTGACATTATAACTCAAAAAATGGAACATAGTTATCAAAATGTAAATGTGTGGATCTAGTGCGGTTACCCAAGGCAAGGTTTTAAAAGACAGGAACTTGGTAAACTGGATCACGTTGCACAAACTTTTTCGATTAAAGTACAATGAAGTTCGTTGTGACCTCCGTCTTCAATTAAAAAAACGGAAATGGATAGATGATGGCGACTAATCAATTTAATACATTTTTGTAACTATCAAGGATGGCCATTTTCATTCATAATAGGGTAGTTTCCTAAATTTTATTTTAATGTTCGTCTGGTACATTAATTTAAAACTTTAGACATGTATTTTTTCTTTTCTCACGAAATTAAATATCTACTTTCGACGACATATTAATTTGAATTATCGTGTGACGTCACGGCGTGCCACATCTTGTAGCACGTTATGACATAAGTAACGACCTCCCACTCCTGAACTTAGCGCCATTTTATCTTAGTATTGCAACTTATACGAGAAAATAAAAAAAACGTGTCTAATATTTTTTCATTATGTAACTGACGGACTTATTAGATTTTTAATTTTAATACCCTGGAAACCACCCAATTGTGAAAGTATGCATAAGGGACTATGTTAGATAACATTAGATTAAACTATGTGACATCGGTTTTATTATAGTGAGTGGTTTATAGTTAAGTTTTCTTGGGTAGCTAAATCTTTCAAGGTATAAAGTAAACAAGGAAAAGCACATTTTTAAATATTTTATTTTTTTGTAGAAAAAAAACCTTCGAAATTTCTCATGCCCTTTGAAACACTGATCCTTTGGCTGCCGTAATGAAATTCTTCCGTCGAAGGAAATTAATCGCGCCTTTCGTACTTTCACTGCCGGTTTTCCTGGATCAAACATTTGTTTTTGCTATTAAAAATCTCAAGATCGAACTGTTTTCGTTGGACAAAAGTTTAATGACTATATTCTTTTATATGTCTTGTGATTATTGAAAATAAAAGATTACACGATAACAACACTTTCTAGGAACATTTTGAAATCTTAGAGTAGGTAATACTGACTACTGGGAAACATGTTCTTTTAGCAATAGTAATGTAATTCACATTTTTGTTCGTTGTAATTTTATCCTACAGATGTCTTGCAGCTGCACTTCTGTGATTAAATATTTATGTATAAAATTAGAACTAATGACACTCTAAACTTAATGACTGGG